CCTAACCCTAACCCTAACCCTAACCCGAACCCTAACCCTAACCCTAACCCCTAACCCTAACCCTAACCCTAACCCTAACCCTAACCCTAACCCTAACCCTAACCCTAACCCTAACCCTAACCCTAACCCTAACCCTAACCCTAACCCTAACCCTAACCCTAACCCCATTTAGCACGGATTTCATATCTAATATCCATTACTGAAAAGGTATCTAAAAAATAATTGAGTGTATATCTAGAGAAATTAAGGATTGTATTACTAATTATCCGTTCGATATCGATTCAGGATTTAACCTTTATTAACACCATTGATGATACCGATAATTCTAAATTAAGTAACTGTAATTACAATTTTAGCTGTTTAATGCTCCTTAATTAAAAAATGATATTAAAGATTTTATCATTCATAAAAAATGAGTAGTTTGGATACATCTGTAAATCGAATGCAGAAGGTAGTCTCTACAAATTAGATGTCATTTAACCCTAACCATAAACGGCAATACAAGTAGATACAACAGTGAATTAGATTCTCAATAGGGATTATATTGTTTTCTACGATTATTATTTTATCACTGATCATATTTATTGTGGTATATTTCATAAAGTAAATGTGGATTTTGATCTAAAGTAGTCATATGCTTAATGAAATGAATACAAATCTATACTTGGATTGTTTCTCAATTAAACTTTTGTATTTATGAAACTGATACAACATACGTATCTTACTATAATATTAAGTAATGAAATGATATCGGTACTGAGCCAATGTTATTGTTTAACATAATTTTCTCTGTTTATGGGTATGTAATGATATTACATATAGATGTCGATTAAATCCAAGATTGTCTAGTGCTAATATAAATGAACCGGAAAAAAAATGAAATAATCACCACAACATCGGCCAACGGTTCTACGATGATATGAGGTTCTGCAAATTAGCAGCTAGCTGCTATATCATTAAGTTAGATTATGGCACAGATTTTTTTTGAAGTATTAGTTCCATCTTGAAAGTTCTTTATGAACATACGAACAAAGTCTGCAGTCTTCAACAGATCTGAAACTAGAATCGCCATCTTGAATAGCTTGCGTAAGTCTTACATTTTTATGAGCGCAAAATAGTAAGTACTGATGAAGGTCAAGGACCAATTTTAATTATAGAGATTTGCTTAATCTGTTCTGGCGCCTCATAAATTATCTGTCGATTCTTATTTATTCAGCAAATTAATACACTGCAGATATACGATGTAAGTAACATTACAAATTTTCTGATGCCCAACACTATCTTAATTCTAAAAACAAAATTTTATTAGCAACTTTATACGATCTTAGATAATTAGCAAACATAGTTAAAAACAACTTATGAAACGTTTATCATGCTCAGATAGCAATCATCGTATTTATTCCTGAATGCCCTCAAATTTGTTACTGATCTACTGCTGATATAATCTAAAAGTACGCACAGTTTCTGTTACTTATGCTCAATGAAGCATGAGTCAAGTCGTTTAGACCCTTAAATATTCAACTAAGTCAAAATTTTAGGATAAAAGACAAGTCGAAAATTAGTTTTATGAAATTACTACCAATTACAGCTAGAATACAGTTAGCTAAGTGTCAAAGTCCGATTAGGTCTCCTGTCTTTAAAATCTAAATTTCTGATACCTTCTGCAATTATATAAAGTCATAGTAAAAATTATGAAAGATTGTTACGAAAAACTGCAACTTTGAAAACATTCCATGCGACGCTTTCCGTCCATCAGGATCTCGCTAGATCCAAAAAATTTATTTCTTGTCACCCTTCGCTTTTAGTTTCTCCATTTCTACATAATAAGGGATCCTCACTGAATAATCAATTTAAGATCATAAAGAAACGGTATTGGACGATTACCTTGCTGAAGCTTTTGATTCTCTTGCGCTAATTCAGAGTTTCTGGATGACAAATAAATAGCATCTTGTATTGATTCTTCAAGAAGTGATCTATAGGATTGGTCCATGGTGGCTTTTTGCTGTTCAAAAACGTCCCTGTAGTTTCGGAAGGTCTAACGTACAATTCAGAAGAAACCTTTAATATCATGGGTCTTAATATACGGGTATATTCTATGCAGAGAGAAGCAGTCCTACTTGAAATTGCTGAAGTTTTTGAATTTCGAATGCTTCCTTATGGCGTTTATAAACATTGTTGATATCGTCCTCCAATCTTGCCTTTTCCTGTTGCAATTTACTGATCTACAAATTTGTCAACAGTAATTTACGAGTAAGTTAGTTTAAGAATCAATGATAAGACATGTACTATAAAACAATACATACCTTTAATGTGAGTATTGATCGTTCAGCCTTCATTTCTATTAGATCATTCTCTAGCTTTAGTATTTGTTGTTGCGAGTACTCGATTCCTTCTGCCATTTTTAACTACAGTCAGAGTATAAATAGCTATTAGATTTACACGTGATGTTAGTTTTTGCCCAAACATGACAGTTTTACCTGTACTTCAGCTTTTTCCTGCTGAATTTCAACTTTCATTCTTTCTAATTCTTCTTCAATTATTGCATCATCTTCCTTTTCTCGCTTTTTTCTTTCCTCTGCCTAGTATTTGTATTGTTTAACTCATGTTATAAAGTAAGTAGACAATGAAACTGTTACTGCTGTACCTCTATGACTTGCTGTATTTCTAAATTGCCGCGGGAAGCACTGTATTGCATTTTAGCATCCTTAAGTATAAATTATTAGTTTATTAATAACACTAACAGTTGACAGATTATTAAACTATATGGCTACCATTTTTCCTTTTTTCATTTTCTCTTGATTTTCTCTTAACCTTTTCTTGACATCTTTCAGGATTTCATTTTCGTGCTTCAATTTCTCTTTAACTTCATTAATTGCATTAACATATTGTTTGGTTTCTTCTTCTGATCGTTTATCTGAGTAGATTCATTAATATGAATTACATTAAATGGATTTAAAACATCAAGCATTTTCATATATAATAGGTTTGGATTAATAAAACAGAAACTGTACTTGATTCTCCAAGCTTTGAATATTCAGATATTCGATTTTGCAAGTCGTCTTTCATTTCATCGACAACACGCCTCTTTTCTTTGTATTCCAGAGAGAGCTATGCGTAGATTTATAGCAGATTAGTTAATTCAGTTCAATTTAATATTTCTTATTAGATTTTCTTGACGTATAACAAATAATCTTACTGAGTCCTTTTCTTGCTGCAAGGTAACCAATTTTTCTTTTACTTCTCGGGTATCTTTCTTGTGGATATCAAAAACCCATTCTATCATACCCTATTGGCGATACAATTGTTGTAATTTCAACATAAAACTATCATCAACATTGACTTAATCAAAATATTTGATTATTCGAACTGAAAATAACTTAATGTACCATTGCGCTTATGTATACGTTACATAGCAGCTACCATCTCTAAATTTAACCACAGTACTCGTATACTAATATCACTTTTAGAGAAATGCTTTGATATCTCTAACCTTTTCAGCAAGATTGCGACGTCGTTCTTCTTCGTAAATATCAGAGTAGCGTTCCTTCTCGTACCAGGTTTGTCTCTTTGCAACATTAAGGTCTTTAATCATATCCTGTTTTAAAATTTTGTTGGCATTGTAGGAAAATTTACTAGGTGCAGATCAAATCAATCATTATAAGCTAAATTGACCTCTAGCCTCTGGATGTCTTCCTTATTTTGCACCGCTGCTTCTGGACTAGTTGAAGCAGTGGCTAATTTCTCTCTAAGTCTGTTTATCTCATCCCTAAGCTCTCTAATAACTCGCATATTGTCATCCTAGATGCATAAACAAAATTGGAACCCGTTAAAATGCGTTAATGCTATGCATGTCAAGAAAGACAAAGCCAATAAAAAAATCTGAATGTTTTCAACATTTTAAGCTTATAATATTAATAACCTCTGTTTGCTTAATAGTGTTCTTAATGCTTCGAATAGACTGAGTAAAGTCCAACGTATTTAGCGTTTCCTGATATTTTTCACCTATAAATTGTTATTGGATTAACACTATGCTACATGATCCTACTTTTTGCTAAGTACCAACTTCGAAGCTATCTACTCGCAGCGAAATGCTATTTCAAGAGCCTTCTACCTGATGAAGAAACTGTTCCTATGAATACTGTACAGCTGTTACCGCCAAAAGCATCCTAATTGCACATTAGCGAGAAATAAGCAGAATAATATAATCATATAACCATTCTTTAAAGAAAAGCATATACAATAGCAAATTGTAACCTGTAGTATTCGAGTGATTTTACTCTCTCTATATGGTATAACTGTTCGTTTCTTAGAATTTACGAGGTCTTGTACGACTTTATGAAGAGTGTTGACCCTAAATGAATGGTAGAGTTACTTAAGCATTTATATGTTCCCTAAATGAGAATGAATATCTAGGGGCTGACAAAATAAATAATGGTTACACTATATATTCTGGCAATTACTAGCTTTTGAATGCCATAGAAGGGATATTCATTTCATGAGCATTTGTCGAATACTTACCCTTTATTTGTCAGTTCATATCCTGATCCTTGACTATCCTTCTTCCGTGGTGGAGCTGCATACCATTTTTATTAAGTTATGAATAATTGAATTTTTGAAAGCTTGAATAACAGTAACTAATTTTACCCAACCAATCTACATTACCAATAACCTCTAATTAATTTTCAGTGTACCTGTTATGCTGGCAATCACAATTTTGCTACGTAACCCGAGATCACCAGCATTTTCTTGTTGCTGTTCAATGGTTATGGTATATACATCGTCAGTTCTGCAATGATCGCATTGTTAGCCAAGTAGTTTGAAATATACGAGTATGAGCAAAATTCTTAATAAACTTAAAGCAATCAATTAATTTTAATTAACCGTACTTTCTTGCTGCACCACCACCTTTCTGGTCTTTCAACAGCTTTTTAACGCGACTACCTTGCTCATATAATTTCGTACAATCTTCGCTTGAGCGTACAACAATTTCAGAAAGACCATCTATGTATCTGTGTAAAAGATATTAATGACGCTAATTTTACTTCAAATTCAAAAATAAAACTAAGTGTCGACAAAAAATATTTTAATAGTCTTCCTTACAAGCCTAACTGCGGATGTTGTCTAATTTTCATTTCGTTTGAATGAGGATTTAGCAAATCTTGCATTTCTTCATCTCTAACCTATTCGATTTCTAACTGTTAGTTATATAAGTACAATATATAATTTTAAATCGAAATTAGCGTAGAAAGACCTCGAGAAATGAAGCAGTTGTAAGACAGCGTTTTCCAGATGATTGTAATCCTTTGAAAATGGCCTGTGATAGCTGGAATGAATTATAATTATAACACACTTGAAACATAAATCTGGTGCAAAACATCGATAACAACTATGCATCTATACATTAATTAATTCAATAAAGTTGCTAAATTTAGATACTAGTAAGAAAGATCTTCCTACCAGAGGTACAATTCCAACTTGGTCTTCATTTCCTGACAAAGTATGGGTTTTACCAGTACCAGCCTTAGCAAAGTAGTTAACGATATCTTTAGCACGATAGATAGTGTACTACAATTAAGAAATATTTACAAAGTACCTGTCCGTAAGTAACAATTGTTAAGTTCTTTCCAGATAGTGCTTTTTTAATTAGCGGCTCAACAGCATCATGGTATATGCTATCCTAATATTAATGAAACATTATTAGACGTTATATTTTTATTTCACATCCAAAATAACACCATTGCATAAATGACATCCAGTTTGCATACAGTTTTTGCGTCTGATGAGAAGCTGTAGTCGAAAGCAAAAGTTTGTTCCTGAAAGACAACAGCAGTAATAAAACGTTTTAGTAATAGTTAGGCAGGCGTTCATCTTTTACTATTTCGCATTAAATCAAAGTACTTAATATTTTCCTAAAGTTTTCATGAAATTTGATGCAATTACTGTTTACATGTACCTTGGTATCATTTCCAGAAGGATTAGGATTATGAATAATAACTTTTTCGTTGTGCATTTTAATGATTTTGGTTGCTCCTTGACCAGATTCAGAAGCTGTAATATCATTAACAGCATAGGCAAGTTCAGTTAGAGGAATAGAATTACAGAAAAACAAACAGAACAACATAAACCGATATTAAGCCTACCAGAGAAGGGACGACATCGGATAGAGGTTATTATATTCATAGATTCTTCCTAACAATGGTTAGATCCGCAAATTGCGATAAAAATATTGAAAGATACGAGATTAATTTACTGCGCTAATTATCCTAACTTGCCATTATTTAGTGATTGAAATGAAATCAGTAATGCTAAATCATAACACATAGTGATACAGTTGGCTTATAAAAGCATTTAAATTGACTATAAGCATAAACAATTATGAAGAGAATAACCTTGTTTGAATAGATTAAACTGTATCTTGTTTTATAAAAGAGGAAGTACACGATATACTATATCTACTCCAATTGAACGAATAGATGAGTGAGTATGAACGTAATAAGTTAAGAAATTTTTAGCTTGTATAAAATCTCAATTTTAAGGAGCTAGATATTGCTATATCAACGGTGGAAATAAGAAACTGTGTTAAAATGATTTCACAGCGAAGTTTAGTTGCTTACATGCCGTATACACATGTACATGTCCAGTTAAATTAGTTATCATCGAGCATTCTATATCGAAATCGCATGCTTAGATAACATTTTTACTGTTAACTTGCTAAAATCGCATGTATAAATTTACTACAACAATCCTCACTAATATAGACCGAAAATCTGTCACTTACGGTACAGAACATAATAACTAGCAGGAATAACAAACAGAAATATATCACCATTAAGTGTTAACCAATATTATAAATTCTTTGACATTTGAAGCAACATGTAGTAAGGGAATTATTCATACCATGTTTGTGCCTCTGGTAATTTTCTTCCTGATTTGTGTATTTGTTATTCAAAAGTTCACCTTCGTGTCCCGTAGGCACTAGTTGCTAGTATTGATAGTCGAAGGTAGCAGTTATAACTACGGGATTAAACAAAATGCTTTACAGTAAATTGTGGTCAAAGCTTTTACAGATCGAAACTTTTCAATAAAATTGTGAATAACAGCGACTGGTCTCCAGTAGTAAAGCGATGTAAAGCTTGGACTTACACTTGGAAAGTGCATCTATTTTAAGTGATCTATCTCCAATTAATTAGCTATGGCACAGTACACAGGTGGATACCGTTGCGGTATATGGTACCGTACAGTATTTCTCTTGCAGTATAACAGCGATATTAAAAGTGACTGATGATCAACACAGTGCAACTGGCTATTTCAGGGCCGTTACCAGCGCAACTGCATGATTAAAATAGCTAGCACTATGGTAATTAATAAAGACGGCATTAATGAAGGGAAAACTCCTTTTGCAGCAATAAGTACAAGAAAATTGCATACTGAAACATTTAGCTCGTTAGCTAGAAATAGCAGTACTGTATTGGTACTGTAGCATGTTATTTGAATTCTGTAAGATGCCCCGTCCTTTTCTCGTATGACGCAGAACATGACTATTATGACGTCATAATCTCTATAGCAACGCTATTTCAACGTTGTGTAGAATGTAATTGGGCATACTTATGGCATCGTACTGAAACGGGACTCTCCATTGACCATTTTAGTATTCCCCAAATTTCCAACCGGAGATGTTTTAAAGTAATTATCGAGTCTTGCAGAAGTTTTAAGCAGAAGATCTCTGCAATCTTTATGTGAGATTGTAGTACAGTACAGTGCTGCACTATGCTATACCGGTGAGGAAACTTTATGTACTGTATAGTACAGGTATACAGTATGAACGAAATCAGCTCTGATGATAAGCACTGCAGTATACTGTGCATTGTGCAGCATTGTACCATGCCTGTATCGCGCCTGATCGCGCCGAAATATTAAATAAAAAAATGATTTATTTATTTAACTGCCCGACTTGGCCAATTTATTTTATAATATAGTATAAACTACCATTCAGTTTCAACTTGCAACTAAGAAAGAGTATTACGCTGTCAGATTGTTTTACGCCTTATCACGCAGCCTAGTTCAGAATTTTGTAGACAATCTACGCTCTGGCTCCGGCTAGACGGATACAGATCTGTTTTCACATGCAGACTGCTGACCATTTAACGTGGAATTCAGTATACCGTACTGTACTTCCGTACAGTGTACAGTACAGTCCAGTATTCCTTTGCTATAACCGTACTGTATTGTACAGTACACAGTGTACAGTACTGTACAAGTGTACTGTACAGCCTGAGTACAGCATACCGTACAGTACACGGCGCAATCGCGCAAATGAATAATCCTGCGTTGTACATACTGTATACATACACTGTAGAGAAGTACATCAAGCTCGGGTAGATCTTTGGCGCTTCCTGGAAGGACTGGTATTTCAACAGTTTGACCGATATTTTATCCTATTTGATCCTTCTACGTCTAACCCACTGGTCGCCCTGGCTGCAGTCAGATGGTAAGAAATAGACATTATAAAGTACCGTGTCATTTCAGCCTCGATTTTCTCGATGGAGTTAATTTTGAATTAATCATACACGTCTGATCAACGGGTTAATTTCATGACAACAAGTGCATCAAACGCGTTCTTATATTGGCAGTGCATGATATACAAAATTGAGAGAAAATTCCCAAAGAAATCAATATCGCATAAGTTATCACTGGAAATTACTGTAATGTAGTGTACAGTCATATGTATCTTGAAATAAAGACTTGAAGATAATTGAGAAAACAAACATGTAATAAGACTCTTCTAGCTACCGAGCTACTGTTGCAACGTGGAGGCGGATTCGATGAAGTTGTTTGTGTCTATCAATCAGAATCGATAGACCTGTATTATAAGTAGTATTAAGCACTATATACAGACGACACAGTTTACTAGACGACGTCCACAACATCAGCTAGACACTATCTTGGTATTCACCGTTACGGTCGTTATCTTGTGGCATCTACTTTACCGGAATAGATCCTGTCTGGAAGGACAGGCTATGTACCAACTACTGAGATAATTACAATCTGTAATAAGTCCAATAGTTACATTTTACAACGTACCTAGCGATTTTCAAAATCATTGTCAGCAATGACTTCTAAAGCATATGCACAGTAATTTCTTTATTAGAATCATCAAAACTTAAATATTTCACCATTATCTGTATGTGGTAGAAAATTACCAATAGCTACTATTGCAGTAAATAAGACGTCATGATTTGACGATGTCGTTCATTAATTACGGTTATATTAATAGTATCAAAGCTTACCCTTATACTGCATCTGCTGAAGGTGGATAAATGAATGCATGACAGTCAAATAGTATTAAAAGCCGGTACTATCGATTGAATCGATCTTTTAAGTATAAATAAGGCGACCATAGGGAGTTAGAAAAATAGATATATTCTATACTGTGACAATGTGCCGATGTCATTGGTGTTCTAGGTAAGAGATGGCTTCCAACTTGAAATACAGCAGCTCTTCCGAACCGAGACCAAAGCATTTACGGGTGTCAAGAATAACAAATGATCGCACACTAGCTCAATCTGCGCCAAAGCCGTCAAGCAAGGTGAATGGCATAATACTTTATCATATAGCATGGTTTATCCTGCACTATGCCGTTTTATATCAATTGGACAATTCTTAAATGACAAAGTGTTAAATTGCTGAGAAGCCCATGTTATTGATAGACGTGCATGCTATAATTCCTATTGTAGTAATTATAGTTAATCAAGCTGCTACTTTTAATCTTAATCAACTTCCCTATGTTGTTATAAAAATTCGTCATATTTTACTTATACACGTACTTAATACTATACTAGAAGAATGCGACGACACCGTTAGCTACTATGCAAAGTGCTCCTTCGAATGAAAGGTAATTGAAAATTGATTTGACAGTCATAATAGGAAACGCAGACTACGAAGATCATATGTATTGATTGGCAGCTATAGTAATAACGATGCATAATTAATATGACAATATACGTTGCATACGTGTTGTAAATTTTTGCATATTTTAGCCATCGATTAAAAGATACCATCAATAGAAAAATTGCATTTGATGTTGATGAAGAAGAAATAGTGAGTTAAATGATATTTCTGTTTATTGCCCCTGTTGAATAAAAATTCCGTAATATGAAATCCTTAAAAATTGTTATTCCTTCTTTCTTTTATTGCAGAATTCGATGGAGAACGGAATAGATGATATCGAATCGTTTACTACGGAAAATCAAAGCGATATATCAGAAGCGGTTAGTTTGATGATAGTTATACTGTACGTTATCTGCTATGAATACGTGTACTTTTAGTACTTCTTTCTTAGTTTTAAAATAACAAGGCATCCACTAAATGCAATATAACTGCTCCTCTATACTGTAGATTGACTCTCAGATGGTTTATGAACGCCTGATGCAAGTGAGGGTAAGCTAACACTTTATTGTAGTAACTGTAATATTGTAGATTAATCTGAAATGTTTTACTCTGTGTGCAATAACAGAAATTTCTTAAGCAAGTTACGCAAAGATATAAAGAACTTCAAACTATAGAAGTTAATGATGATGGTAGAAAGGTATTTGTGACTTATATCTAATACCATTTTCCATTTAATTCTAACAATTGACTTTGTGCTCATGAATACAGAATTTGTATGCACAGCAAAAAATCAGACTTGCTGGATTTATTAAGACATTAAAGGGACAGGAGCAAGGATATTTAGATCTGATGAGAAAAGTTATGGTAGGTATTTCATTGCAAATGAAACTACATGTGGTATATTTGCAAATATTGTGTTAATAGCTTGATTTATCCTCTGAAACCGAACCCTAACTAGAATACTGAGAATGTAAGATCTGAGGCAGACACAGAAAGCAATCTTTCGGAAACATTGCGATACGATGATCAAATTGAAACTAATAATCCAACGAATGACTTAGTAATTGATGACTCTAAATTGCTAACAATTTTACAGTTAGATTGTTTCTTTGCTTACTCGCTTAGATCTAAGTCGAATGCTCTATTGCAGGCGGATGCAACGGAAGATGCCGCAGAAGAGATGAATGCTTTACGAAATAAATATGCGATTATGCAAAATATCCTTACGCAACAAAAGGAGGTAAATCGCTGGATATCAGAAGTAAATTATAAAATTTGGATTGATTAAAGGTTTAGTAAATTTTAGCATTGTCTACGGTTATTAGCTGAATGAACTTCGTAGTCGTCAGGCCGCTTTAGTTGCATTGCAACAGCGATCGCAAGACCGACAAAACGATTTAAAGGTAATTGTAAAAGAGATCGTATTGCTATCCTATTCATGGCTTCAAGGTTGTTTTTAATACTAATTGAATGAACGTGTTTGCTCAGGATGCATCGAATGACCTATTTGCGGAGGCAGAACTACCAACAAAAATTGAAAATGTCAGATATGATTTACACTTATCATATTTAACATGAAACAAACTTACTGTCGCAACTCCTTTATTGCCGATTTAGGATGAAACGGATAAAAGTAGTGAACCTGAAAGCGCTAATAAACGACAAGCTGAACTTTTAAACAAGATGCTACTATTGAAACATCGGCAACAGCAGTTAGACGATCTAATAAATCAATATCGCAGCGAGAAACAGCAGATACTTCAAGGTTGTGTATTCCGTTGAATGGGGATAATGTTGATAACAGATAAAAATTTAAATTAATGAAGAACTTGGTATAGTAAAGTTGGAGTAGCTCAGAATCAGTTTATAAAGTACTATAGTATGCACTACAGAAAAATGACGATAGTTATTTGTTAAATTTATAAGTATCAGTAGGCGATTCGAAAAATGCCAGGAATATCGATAGCAATGAAAGGTATCTTCTGTAAAATTTTTCTTTCAATAATGACATCGAACGTATTGTAACATATAAGTGTATTCCTGTTTTTAACAGCATTCAAGATACAGAAAGTATGGAAAAATTTGCTGACGTCAATGATGATCCGGAGTTACTGCAAAAATTAAGGTTAAATTCAAGCATCCTTTATTTTGATTTTAATACTGAAAGCCTAGATCTTATTCAATTTCTAAAACATCTTATCTTAAATTATTCAGATTATTGCAAGAATCACGATCGCGTGTCGCTCGTTTAAAGGAATTAATTCCTGAGGTTCGTCTAATGTTTTAGATATTTAGCTGAAATTTTACTCGGAAATCTGATATAAGTCATCAAACATAAAATAGTCGTCAGAATCGATGGCATCATCACAGGTTGTAATAGATGATGAGGAAGAGAATGCCGGTAGCAGTTCGATAGACGACAGTCTAGCTATTTCAACGGAAGACCCTGAAATCCAAGAGAAATTAACGTAAGAACTATAGTAACTAGAACTTGTTTGCAATGCCTGAAAGGAAATTTGCCTATTGGTTATTACTGATATCTAGAAAATTAAACGTTGCCAAGAAACGATTACAAAAATTAAAAGAATTGATGAAAATCGTTCAAGAGGTAACTATTGCTCGTTATTAATGTAAGAGTAATTTCTGGGCAGCTTTTGCTTTGGAATATGTCAATGAACTTATTTATTACATTTCTTACGAATTATCAACTAGTCATCCGCTGAGCAACTACCACCGGATTTATTACAATTAACAGAGGAGCTGACCACATCCAATCCCGATAATAGGAGCGACAGCAGTGTATGCCTTTTCATTGTTATTACCAAGATTTAACTATCAATCGTTATCAGTATTGCGACAGTATACTATGTCATCATTCTAGGTATCTAGTATTAATAGACCAAGATTGAAAAAATCTGAAAAATTACATACGGAAGAAAGTAACAAATCTGATGATGTGGACCACTTTCAAGAAGAGCAATTGCATAAACTGCAAGAAAAGCAAGAAAAGTTATTACATTTAAAGAAAGTTCTCGAAGAACTAAAATCTTCTCTCTCTGATTCTCTGAACCTACCGCCAGCACCTACAGATGATGTAAGATTGAAATTATAATCGGTTGTATAATTCTTGGTACAGGAATATTTGTTGCTAAGATTTCACATTATGTATCTAGCTGGCCGCAAAGAGTGATAAAAGGAATGATTTAGGTACGTGAAAACTTTTTCTGGTTTATCTTACTTTACGTAAATTGTTCCTGAATTTTATTGTTGATACTGATTTCTATTCAAGCTTTGAATAATTCCAATTCGGCACTATGGGGTGAACTACGTAAGCGGCGCGAATTACAGGAAGAGCTTAAAAGTAAAAGAAAGCAATTGCAGCAATTGCTTGCTGTAGAAAAGGCAAAGGTAGATTATGTGATACCGTAATGTTGTGTGATCGAAAGTGTTGTTGAGTCAGGGCCTTAATCATGTCAATTGTACTGTAGGAAATGGAAGGCTTGGCGAATGGGCCATCGTAAGTTTAGCTAAACCGTTGTATGACAATTAACTTCCAGCAATGTGTAGATAATATCTTGACCGAAGTAATGTTAACTTTAATATTGCACTTTACAGAGTGAATGGCACCGAAGAAGTTATGGGGTTAGTCCTGTATTGACGTAAATGCTTCATATTTATACATACGTTGATGTACAGTATAGTGAGTAGAAAGATTGGTTGTACATGATGTTGCATTTAAATAGAAATACCTTAATACTATTATGTAAAACATGATATGAAGTGTCACAATTTTGATTTAATTAACTAATGTTTATATTATCAATTTAGAATATGTTCTATTGAGTTGCTGTACCGTATGCAAACAGTATTACCTACCGTATAATAATAATTTTAATGATACATACGATCATTTTTCTCGAAAATAGAATTATGGAGTAATTATCATGATTTTGGTGAAAGTAGTCATATAAATAAATACTATGAAATCCCTAAGCCAAAGCCATGTGCAATAAATGCTCGGGATTAAGTCACAAGGCTAGGTTATGTACACATTTTGATACTTGTCAAAGTGATTATATTCTCTTGCTAATTAATAAGATATGGATATGACGGTGCCACCACTCAAGCAACGTGGGGTGGTTCTACGCCGGACGTTGGGGATTTTAACGCAAATCTAGAAGGTATAATCTATGATGCCTGTTTTTATCATAATGTAACGCTTACATTCTAGCTATGTAAGTTTTTATTTTTAATGGTTATCCTTGAATGAATAATTTAAATTGACTTTTCGTTATTAGTAGCTTGGTTTTTGTACAAAGCGCGTAATGAATGACTTTATTAATATAGACGACTTGGATGACGGTTACGTTGCAACCAGAGGTATGGAAGAAGATTCTGCTTCTAGCGAATCTAATGAAATCGGTGAGCAATTTTGGATGGTTAATGTATTTGCCATTCGCATTGGTAAAGTTACATTGAAGCGAAACCGGACCTTGTAGCTTATCTCTGATCATACTAATTGTTTATTAATTCTATAGAATCTGACGATAGGAAGGAATTTAAGTCTGATAGAAATCGTAGTAGAGACTATCGTAATGTTGATAATGATTTGGTAAATAATGAATTGGTAGTCAGCCAACTTTATGATGTACTGTACAGTAGAATTGATTCTTGTTTTTGACTGCCGTTAGTTGAGTAGGAAAGAGCTACTTGCAGTTAAAAGGCAGTATGCCGGCCTAGGAAAGCAAATGGATGGAATGAAATCTCTTTTACAATCGCTAGCAGTTAACTTGCGAGTGCCTTCCAAATCTGATGAAGGTTAGGGATTGTATACGTATTGCAAATAACATACTTATGAGTGCTTGCGGTAGTCAGTATATAATAGGCTTACATAACGTGAATATTGCTATTAGAACGGTGAATTAATGAATTAAGCATTTGTTTAGCTCTTTGTACTAATGGACGTAAATTGTCAAATAATGATTTATGATGTTATATTACATTGTTATTCTATATGCGTAGAGATGTATTTATCTGAACCTAATGAAAGACCAAATTTTGGTGCTGTCCGTAAAGGGCAGGATCAAGTATACATGAGGCAGCTGGAAATGAGTAATACATTAAACCAGTGTCTTTTACAACAAATGAAGCAACAACAGGAAATACAGGAAGTTCAAAAGCAAACGAACCAGCTGTATTGGATGTTCATGGATCGCCGTCATAAATATACTGATCAGGGTTCGTTATAGAGTTCACTATCGTATATAGTAGAATGCTTGTTTAAATTTGCGGAACCGAAAGGAATACTCGCATTGTACTTTATAGGAAGTAGTATTTTCAGATTATGTAGCCCGATTTATATCCTGAATTTTCTACTTTATGCAGCATTAGGCAGGTTGTACTCGGATTCAAGCTTGACATCGGGTCCGGAAAGTACTAACAACGAAAGATCATTCCAACGTTCAAAGAAAGGGTATGAAAAGGCAACTAGTGACTGAAAATAAAACAGATTACTTTAGTTACGTGTTGCTGACTGGAAATGATGATTTCATCTAAGGATTCACTACCTTATCTAAAATGTCTATTAAGTTATTGTAATTAACATTTAACGTCGATCGAAAATTATCCTTGGTTAACTTTCCTAACTTAGCTTATACACGGATAATTAAGTGTTCGTCTATGTTCCGATAAATTACGTTTATCTATCTTATCTTAAGTAAAAGTCATGAAGATCTTTTAAGGCGGATAGCCAGCGATAGGTAAGTTGTGGTTTCTGCTGATTCTATGCTGCTTATAATGTAATATAAGTCAATACATTAAAGGTACACGTTATTAAATGTAGAGAGTCTGGTATAACAAGTGCTACCGATCAGTCACTTTTCGAAACTTTAAGAGAGCCAATCTATTCTGAAGTAGCTGCATTAATATCTCAAAATGAGGACAGGCCTCACTTTTTGGTAATACTTACAATATAATAGCTTCACTGTACTGTGTTGTCGTGATAATGTAATTACGAATGTAAAGAAGTTTTATTGTACGCATTTGCTACAGCATCGTTTATATATTTTCGTTAGATTGAACTATTCCGAGAACTACAACAGTTAACAACGGATTATTTACGTCAGCGAGCGATATTTTCGTTACAAGACCTTACTAGGCGTTATTTGCGGGAAGATACCATAGCTACAAGAGAGCCACAGCGCAATCAACGGGTACGCTTTCTAATTAATTTATACTCCCAAGGGGCTCTTTAAGAGATCGATATCGCTTTCCAGTACTGTTGTAGACATGATGTAGGAATAATCAAGATTTATTCTATTATTACTAAGCCTTGGGCGTTATCAAATGCTACTTCCGAGCATACACCAAGTGAAAGTATTGCTACCATTGATGATGAAGAAATGCAGGTAACGCATTGGTGTTAGTTTATACTTCTGTAGACGTTTGTGTTGTTTAATTAAAATCTATCTTATTGCTGTAAATATTCACCTATTTCGTAAATGATTGCATTAGGCTCAACTAGGAGGGCGCCGTAGCAATCGAAGACATACTCAAGACGACGATATTAGCTGTTTGAGCTACGATTACATGGAAGTGGTTGATTCGGCTACATCTATGGCCACTCCACCGTCCAACTCTAGCCCGTACGATTTACCTTTTGCTTCAGACTCTTTAGGAGATACAATTATCCACTTAGATAAGGTGATATGCGTAATTTACGAGCAGTTTTAATCATTTATTAAGATTGTACACGCTTAGTATGTAATTTCTACTAAGCTAATAATTCATTTATTATGATCCATTTGTTTAACTATACAGGCACTTAAAGAAGTTAGAGCCGTTGATGAAAGGGCACGACGTGGTACATTCACGATAGGTAATTCTGCAGTGGGTTTCTTACGTTAATTTATACTAGTCATCTACCATCTCGAGACTGCTTAATGGCGAAAATAATTCATGTTCAGAGCGTCTATGAATATTTGGAAATAAACTATCTTTTCAGAAACGGAAATGGCCAAGGAAGGAGTTGATAAGATTTCGAAAGCAAGTAGTATTGAAAGTCATAAAAGGAAGGGCGATGCAACTTTAAGTAATAATAGCTCCGCTTATGATGTTGAAAGTAGTTCATCGTTGAGCGATGTTCCTTACCCTCGCGTTAATACTCAAGAACTGGACCGACGAATACATGTGATTCTAAAGGTATAGATTTATTTTGGCTTATTTTAGAACTAAGGAAATTAACCACGAAATTTTGTTACCAGGAACTGGTACCCTACATAAAGGAACACTCGCAGGAATCTTGTTCTTCGCCTATGTTAAGTGCTATTTGTGCTCGTGTTCTGTCGTTAGCACAGAATCAAACCGAAAATGAGGAGTTTGCAAGATTCTTTCATCGTCAGTTGAACTCAACATTGATAGACTCGCTTGGAAAATATATTGGAAGAAGGTGATTGCGCAATTTTAAAGTTGTTATCAAGACTGTCAGTTAAAGATCTAGTGTGTATCGATGTTTTTATAATTTATTGATGTTATTCTTGTTATATGCTGCCAACTATCAAAGTATGAAGATCGTAGCACAGGAAATTCTAGTCGACATTTCAGAGATTCTATTTAATGAGCTAGCATTCTTTGAACTTATGCAAGATGTCGATAGGTAACGATTCTAAACCAAAGTAGCTAAGCTTTCACAATGGTATATCTGTAATAGTTATAATGTGAATATTTATGCTAGCCACGAAAAATCAAGCCAAGAAATACCATCCTATTTACCCAGCGGTAGTGGTAATCAACAATATACAAGTGAAGGTAGCAAGATTTGCTGTGCTATGATGCAGTAATTTTAGACAAATTCCATCAGTTTGTCCTTGTCGTTTTTAAGTCTTTTTGGTGTCCATAATATTATCGTACTTTTATATTTCTCACGCAGACGGGAATGATAATTCAGAAATTGACTCTGAAACTGAAGCGGAAAGCGCTGAAGATAAGCCAGTTGATTCCGTTCATGAACGAGAGGTAAAAACCGCAGTTGATATGCTATCGAAAGATAAGAGTGATCAATCTATGGACGTTGAAATGGAAGAATTAGGCAAAGTATGTACGATTAGATTCATTCTATGAAAGACATTGTTACATACAGAGTTTGTATCATTACCATTTTATCAAGCCTAACCTGAAACTGTAGCATTAATTTGATTCGTCTTCAAATAACTTCATTTTTAACGGTAGGATCGCGACGATGCTATGGCAAATCAGTTTGAAGAGCGGTCAATTGAGCTGATGCAGGAAACGGAATTTATTGATTGTACTGGCGATTCTGCGTAAGTATTTTCTATTGCTTTTAGTAGTCGGCTCAGGATTATTGCATTTGGCTTGTTAGCAATGATTAATTTCTGGCGTTACAGTCAAACGGAAGATTTTAATAAAATTAGTACTGGAAATAACTTGGATGGCAAACAACACTCGACGGAAGGCAACTCCACTATTAGCAATGAAACTATTACCGACGACAACGGCAATTCAGCGGATATGGAGGTACCAACCAGATTACTATTTATTCATGTGGATTAAATTTAAGGAACAATGCATTTTCAGATCTGATAGCAATGAATTTTCGCATCTTAGGTTAAATCATTTAGCAAACTCGATGATGAAGACGATCAGCACGTTGCAAATACGGGCACAGCAGATTTTGAGGTAAACACTAAGCAGCTATAATAGATGTCATAAAACATATGCAGAAATTATGACGAAGCTAAAACTGATCTGCAATTGATCACTTACTTTGCGATGCTACTCTAGTATTGAAGGTGGATAGAATTAATTGCATAGTCTCTTTTAACATGTACACTTCAAACGCTTCTTTAGAATGACGAATTAGGTGTTGAACATCTTCCTTCGAAATTGGATGTGATGACCAAGGTTAGCAATGCTTGCTGTAATTACGGAGCTGAAATTGTAATTAATAGCAAAAGATTGTTCTATACGTAGTTAGCATATGTTGAATACGTATCCTGATAAATCACGCATATCAAATGATAGGAACAGCTGCTAGAAAAAATCGAGGATGAAAACCGCCAAAATGATCCAGTGGTAGCAGTAATAAACACTTCTTCGGATAAAGGTTTTTTATAGTAATCACAACCTTGAAAGTTGTGTTTTTATTTGTGTTAGGCAGTATTCGGTATCTTTAAAATAGTACTACTTTGGCAGAATTGTTATGATCTTTTCTTTATTTTGGAGACCTAAGATTTTTTGCTCATTTACTATCGAAACAAACAAATAATCTTTAGAGCTGGCTTCCACTAATGAAAACATCGATCCTGCTACTTTTGCAAGCGAAGCTTCCACTCAGTAACGGGAACATTTGAATAATTTACAATGCTATAAATGATTCATCGCTTATCATTACAGCTATCGAGGTTTACTTTATAGCGATATTGGCTAGGCAGATTAGTGGTAGTATCCAATACCAAACAGAGTTTTGTCGTAGATTGTTTTCAGTAGGAATGAAATACTGCATCACGTATTGCATATGCAGTTAAATGGAGCTATACAATTGGAAGTTATTCCGGGTGATGAATAATCCCTGAGTTGGGCACTTGTAACATAGCTGTTATTTAATTTACGGCAGTCTAGAACTTACAATCATTCAATAATACTGCTTGCTTGTATGTATTTTATTTAAAGATCGCGACACCACCGGTAAATGCGCGTTTCATACTTTATTTCTTATATTCAATGTCGTCTTTAAACTTTAATTGACAACTATCAATAAATGTAATATTAATAATCCTCTTTTGAAAATTCTTAAACGGATTGTTTTCACAGCACGCATTCTTGCTTATAATAAATGATTAGATGATGCGTGTATCCTTGCAGCTGTACCACTAAATGTCACTATCGATTAACAATATTATCAGTGCATTTTTTTAAGGTGATCCAGCCCTGTATATTTTAGATTTTCATAAGTTAACATGCAATAAATGCCACTGTTACCTTCACCTCGGTCAGGTTTTTATTGTATTTCTGAGATCGTAATTTGCCCATTGTTGGTATTAGTGTATTTGTAGGTCTTGGAATAACTTACGCATATGGCTTTGAATTAAGATACTACGTAATACAAATGTAGATAGGCGTATTTAGGGTATTATACACTGTTACAGTAGAGAATGACGAGGGCAAGTGCTCTCACAATATAAGCATACTTATTTACAGCTTCAGTCTTTGAGGCCTGATTGGTACCTGATAATGGTATTCGCAGATAAATCATGACGTGGTTTATTAACTTACTGCAGCGCTGAATCTTATAATTAGTAATTCAATAATTTATTATATTTAAACCTTGCAAGTGGATTTACGAGTGCTAACAAACTTGGCTTTCCTCAAGTGCAAGCTCACGGCTTACGCATATGTCAAGGTATTCTATCATGGATCAACGTAATACGCTATAATGAAATGCAGTACTTGATTAAAGATCTGATAAGATCATAAATTACTATGACTATCCGTAAAATGTGGTTTAAATTTCTTTGTAACTTGGATAATAGCTTGGACTTGCTTTGCCGTTGTGGTATACTCTATTTATTCATTCAGTTTAATCGTAGTGTAAGACTAGCCATGTACATGGGCTCTAACTGTAAAAATTTAACTATTTATTCTTATGAATACGTCACATAAAAAATGGTCAAAGTATGATGTCTTATGCTTAGAAATAGATCTTTTATATGTACAGTACTTATATTTAACCGTGGATTATGACAATGGAAGTTCTCTATTAATAACTACATCACATACAATTGCGATAATAAACGGTTTTCGAATTTTTAAGCAATCTCCTACTTCGCTATAAATCTGTAGCAGCTAGCTTTCTAGTATTAGAAAATCTTACCAAGTGCACCTATGTTCGAAATACGGTACCAAAACATTCATCAGATTGCTAGAAGATTAGTATACTATACTTAGTAAATATTTCAGTTCTCTACTCTAGGGCTACTAGGCTCGTCTGAAGCTTTCTTGCTAATCTTCTTTATTACGTAAGAGAAGAGTTTTGAAAATGTGGCAAAGATAAAAATTGCTATATGATTATATCTCTAAGCTTTAACGCTAAAAAAAAGGAAAGACTACGTAATGCTGCTTTCCTAATAACATTCATAACAATGTACGCATATCTTCTTTGCCTATGAATGTTATTGATACATTACTTTTACAGAATGCAAATAGGTCAATTACGCGTATGTTGTACTTTAAATCACTAAGGAAGGTACCTTTGCTCTAACATTTAATAGAAGCAAATTACGAATCAGTACTTAGTAGATGTTGATAAAACAATAAATATTAATTATACCCAAGCTGTTTTGTTAAAAAGTAAATTTTGATAGCTATCATTACAAGTATGAGCACCTAGTCATTGGCAATTAGTGTGGTTAAATGTCCAAATACTAGTATATGCTTGCAATCTATAGCAATACTAGTAATATCAACACGTACACTGTACAGCTAAGATTACATAGGAGTTAGCAAGAGCTACGGATAGCTTAGAGGCATTAAATCGAGTTTGACTTAATTAGATAGAAGTCAATTTTTAAATTTAGAGCTCTATATTGTGCTATTGCCGAGGCGGCACCTCTAATTTATAGTGCTTTTGGAAAATGCAGTGGTATATTTGACCCCGAAATTGTAAAAATAAGCCATAAGATTGTAGATGTAACAGCAACTATTGCTGATCGAATCGTAATTCAAATTAATCAAACTCATACAATCAACTTCGCTAATAACCATACACCCAGTTTCCGTAACAAAACTATTAATGTTGCTTGCCGAGCAGCTCTTCCAATTTAATACAGATTCTAAGGTAGTGTAATTTGATATTGAATATAAAGAGTCTAACAAAGCAGTTGATGAATGCCGAACCGTTAATAAGGTAATTACTTAGAGGCAACGCTATTGCGATGCAAGTATCGATTCAATGCACAAATTGGGTGTCAACTATATATGAAAGAATGGCTATTTACAAGCTGTCTTGATATTTTGTATTAAAATAAATAACCAACTTCGTTATAACCATTATAATATAAAGCAGAATTTAACTGAAATTGAATTGCACGTTTGGAACTCATTACTACATACATAAGTGTATATTAAGTTTACAGCAACAGCGCTGATATCTGCGCGTAAAATACATTATACTGTATTGATTGCGCTGCTGAACATGCACATCGTAGAATACTCTATCTTAACATACTGTATACTATACTGTATTATTGTAGACGTAAGTTTCAGTGAAAAGTGTAGTACTCGTACATAATAAATATATTCATCAGTGTGAACAGATAATTTAAAGATTAAAACTAGTTCAAACTAGGTTATTTATGCATTGGCAATTATTCAATTTTTGTAATTAAGCTAGCAATTGCAGCGCATAGTTGATATATTGCTTTTAGAAATGTAAGATGTTAATTAGGAACTTTCTAGGCATCCAGTCGTACCTAATCATGAATAACTAAATGCAATCTTTTCATTTTGCCGTATATGTTACTTATTAAGCTAATTTATTACTAGTAATCAAAATTTTACCTTATACGCATGACATACCGTGCAAGTTGGTACTTGCACGCATCTATTTATTTGTTCATTTCACGGTATTTATTTATTCAATTAATTATACAATGCTCTACAATATATCAAAGTTTTCTATCTATTATAATTATCATGCTCGGCACATTATCACTTTGCCGTGTTATCGCTTAGATATAATGGCTTGAATAAATTTAATGATACTGAAGGAATTTAGATAGCATAATTACTTAGCAAAAGTTTCCAATATTAATAACAAAGCGGCAAGATATGTAACTACGTTTATAGGTCTATTACTCTGTAATAGACGTACGCTTGTTGGTTGTACAAGAAAGGCAATCGACCATAACCCCTATCAAAGGTGTTGAGGCTTAATTTTCCGGAGGCAGAAACATAAAGATATCATCCGAAATATGAAGCAAGTGTGCATTACCCGATATAACTTACCACGGTGCGTAAGAGCATGTTTTGCTACAACTAAGGTAAACATTCAAACAAGTTGCTTTGTTGAGGCAGACTATTGCACCTTGTGCTATCGGTATCCCTTCAAGTAGCTAGGGACAGTAATTTGACCTACAGTTAGGGTAATCGTATACAAGAGGCGTTCCTAATTTTTATAAAAACCTATAAATAAGTGCAGCGTATCGCTTAAATCTTCAGAACTTTCTGGTTCACTGCCCGCAATAATAACAAAAATTTGGCTGTTCCAGAACTGAAACATTCGAAGTTCATCTTTAAAAATTCCATTTCCAGTCCTCGTGGTAAAAAGCTACTAGCGTTTATCAATCTCAATTTAAGTAAACCTGATTTCCCTGCCTATATTCTCGAGCTATCGTACCATTTTATTGGCAAGCAGACAGTTGCAGCGATCACTTTCAGTCTTATACTTTATTTGTCCACTATAATTAGCGTAGTAGACGGTACATAAATTAGTGTCTTCTTGTCCTGTGGTTATAATATGTTTTGTTATTTGCTGCAAAATGCGAGTATATCTTGCTTTCTAATCTTGCTCTCTTATTTGTAATGATAATATTGTTTACTCCAGTTACATGAAGTCAGCTTCATGTTGTCTACAATTGGTAAAATATCAAATTTACTTCAAGTAATTGACTTACAATAAGCATATTACTGTATTACAAGCTAACTGAACAGGATGCTGCTATCAACATTTCAGCAATTATTGACCGTCCGAGTTTCTTGACTATTACGCTATTGATACTGTACTGATTGCTTTCATTTTTGCGTCTTCTTACAGATAACTTGTAAAAATGAATCGACGTTTCAGTTCTATTAAGTCTATAACCCACTTACTTATCCTGATGGTTATGATGTCATCGACGTTAGCATTAACTGCAAATTCTTTAAGATTGAAACCGGAGGTAAGGTCATTAAATCAAGATACGCGCATACGAATCCAAAAGGCTACTTGCAGATAATTTCAAATTAGGTCCATTTCTAACTGATATGCAATAGGCTATATGTTCAATAAGCATATATTTTATTTGCTTGTTCAGTATTTAACTAAGTTACCTAATGTTGATTGAGGATACTAAAGCATATCATACCATAATTACATAATGGTTTTAACAGTTTTGGTACCAACAGTAAAGAATAATTACAATAGTATCGTACTATAGCATATGAATTAGAACATGCCTAAGGTAAAACTAAACTTAAACTAAACTAGTGATATAATGCTCTTCAAAGCCAATGTTATATGGTTTACGATTCCATAGTACATGCAATCTGATAATAAATGGCTTGCAGTTATTCTCATGGCAGGATAAAGATATAATTTCTTATAATTAAACATTATAATTGGCATTTCGCAAACCGTAAACTTATTAACAAGTCAAGCTGCTATTGATTAAATCACAAGAACATATAAGTTGCCTTCAGATTCCATAAAATTCATCAGCTTTATACATAATCTTTTGATAGGCTAAAATGCATGACCTAAAGTTCCTGTTACTTTATAGCATTGTTGGCATTTAAGTAAATGATCACTAGAGGTCTATAACCGAATTTTTCTCTTCACTTCACCAAGCTTTCATTCGATATAAAACATCAGTAATGTACAAAATATTAAAGCTATCTTGACATTCGAATAAGGAAGAGTGAAGGTTTTGTTACGATTAAGAGTTAGATTATATGAATTATGATACTCAGACTATTAGTACTTCATAGCTTTTATTTAAATTTTTTAATGGTTTATTACAATCACGGATTCGTATACGAGCTAGTGTTCCGGTAATCTTCGCCAATGTTATTTAACCGCATTGCCAGATGACAACTGTCAGCTTCTCTAACAACAAATAGTAGAAGGTTAACTCCTTGTCGACTAAACTAAAGAAAAATTGAGTTCCTTAACGTGTTATATTACACGAAACAAACAATATCGCAAAACGTTAGTCATCAACGACCAGTATATAGTCTACGATCAAAATCACTACGTTCCATAATTATTTACAGTGCTGACTTATTTACTCTTAAATTTGCTATTACTGTCACTTCAATGGTCGCTTATGTATTAAGGTATAAGCAGAAAGATCAACATTTTATTTGATTAAGTTCTGTATTATATTGGAAAATAAAATCTTTTGCCAGTGTTACGGTCAATTTATATATTTTTTGGTAATTTACATTTTTTGATGCTGAAATAATAAAATACTATTAATTAATATGTTCTTATGATAAATTTAGGATGTAATTTCATCTTATCGCTCAAATCGCCAAAAGTTAGCCCCATTAATTTATGGTACTTTAGGAAAATGCGTCAATATGCCAAGTAAAGCCACTCAATTTTGCTCATCGAGCTACATGATACCGGAAGTTTCAGCAACTATGGCTGCTGGAATGGCGCATGAAATGAATCTGTCTATGGCAATGATATTTAACACTAATCCTACAGCGACTTGTCGTAATAAAGTTGCAGATGTTGCTTGCAGGTCAGCTTTCCCAAAATGTGATTCAAACGCAAAGACGGTAAGCTTTGATGTGCAAGATGGAGAGTGTCTTAGAACAATTAATGAATGCCCACTTGCCATTAAATTAGTCCTTCAGCAACAACGATATTGCGATTTAAGTATACGTAGAACGAAAAAATTGGGTATTTGTGTTAAACCTAAAGTAACGGCTTTAAAAAATTGTCCTAAATCGCAAGCTGATGTAGCAGTACCAGATTGGCTATCTCATGATTTGCAATTTCAAGATAATACCATCACTGTTGCTCAGGCCATGTTAATTGCTGCTAATGTTAGTCAAGAGTGTACAAAACAGATAGGCTATTTCCAGTGTACCGGTCAGCCATTTTGTGCAAATGACAAAAAAACGGTCGTTAGCTATGGCAGTAAACAACGATGTTTGCAAGCGATGCAATGGTTAGTATTCTTTCCTCGCTATAGCGTAATAATATTTTTTTTGCATACAGCAAACGAGTTTCAAACGCTAAAGTTTAATAGCTTCTAATTTTGGTCTACAATGTAACACGATATTCGATATCCTTGCTTTCTTCTTTGAAATACTTATAGCTTACCGCCGCCGATGCGAAGTGCTCCACAAACATATGGTTTCTGTGGCCTCTTCGTTGATGAGACCGAAGCTGAAGTGTATACGAATTCAGCAAGTCGCGTGATGAAAAATTCTTTGGTTGTGGCGTTATCATCTATACTTGTATCTTTATGGGGTGTTTTGCCACCAACTGATTAATATGGGTCGCCAATTACAGCGCATAGGTATTACCAACGCTCATTTCTTTAATAATAAATATGATTCCAGTAAACAGTGTTACTATAGTTGATTGCCATTTTATAATTTATTATCACTTGCATTATCATAGTATATATTTTGGAAAACCTACTTCAAAGTATATCTGGTAAACTTTTATAGGCTCTATAAAGCAGTACTTTAGAAGATTTAATAATGTAATGTAATGGAGACTAATTTTCTTCAAAATATACGTGGTTATATTGGAATTAGCTATAATCCGCTTAATCCATTGCATTAATTTAACAATTTGGTCGCTCTATTGCTGCTTTTCTATCCATACATTTCATATTTTTAATTCAATTTTGATTGTATTTTAATTAATCTATAGTACATTAAAAAATGCGAGTTAGATGTACATATTAGTATCTCAATTTCTACATGATCTCGTCTCGGTATTATTCAATTTTACATAACTGACCATGTCCTCTTGTATTATCTATATTTAAGTATTTTACGATCCATACATAATTAATTACTTGTACCAGGAGAATAAATCAAATATTTATACAATTTCTCCTTACGTACTTTCTTTGCAACTTTAAACTATTGTGCATCGTAGTAAAATAGCAAACCCATGAAAACATCGATTAAGCTGGGCACATTGGACTGTAGTGAGACCGAGATATAGCCAGATAAGCGAATACTCGTTGCGATAGCTTAGACTAACGTTTGGGATACGATCTAGTGGATAGCAAGGCATGCTACCGGTACCGTATAACAGCTATTTAGTTCAGAATGCAAATCGTGTATAAATATGTAAGAAGATTGCATGCTATGATCCGGGCGATATACCTTACACCCTTTAATTCAAATATTTTACAGCAAACTATACATACAACCGATTCCTTTTCATTCCAGCTGATCGTCATTCAAATCTAATTTACATGGAAATGGATGCTATCGAAGAATACTTGTATATCGGATAGGTGGATCAATTAATTATATTATCGAACACATTCATGCATAGTACTAAAGGTATTCTATGGCACTACTGCTGCTAAGCAGTTTGTAGTGGAGTGCAATACACAAGTATTGCATAACAAGCAATAAACTGGACTGTATACTATTTTTCGTCTTATTCTAAATTAAATCACCGTGTGAGATAGGCTAATTAACGTATTAACAATTTCAAGTCAGGGTATATTCTGTACTTACCAATATTTAAGCCTGATTTCCTGCTCCGCTTTCTACATTATAAAAGCAATTTTAAAGCAACTAACTAGTTAGTTCTACAAGTTACTGTACACAGTAAACTGGTATGCTTTGCCTACAGTATTCTAATTTATCATAGTTATTCAACTATTATGGATCATGTGGTTTATCTACTATGTAACCTCAAAAGATTTACCCACAAACACAAACCTCAATGGAGAAACGTCAAAGTTACATCATTTTATCCCAACTCTCTTTTTGCAAAGCATTTCAAGATTATCCGATTCAACTCTAATTAGCTTATTGCAGGCATCATAATTCTATTGAAACGCACCATCCATAATAGTATTGCGCTACTTTAAAGAACTTGCTTATTAAGTAACTGCCGACTATGCCATTCCTACGTGCCTACGTGATTATACGCATGCATATTTATATTAATGTGAAGTAGAATATAAAAAGATAATTATACAATGGATATTCTCTAGTTTAAAGAAATAACCTCCAAAATTAAGAATATTACACGGCGGAAATATCGTCATCCTACGTAATTAGAATCCACTAAGTGCTGCTTAGCAGGCGCCATAATATTAAATAATTTTCTTGTATTAGTATGTTGTCGTGACATTTATATGTTCGAATTTTCTAGCTTACAGTACATAAACGTATGTTTCATATATGCACAGATATAATCCTGAATAAATCAGATATGGAAAGTATGATAAACGCTATGCAAAGTACACGTACTATTTTGTGAACCCATAAGCAATAATTTTTACAAGTATGCAACTACTAAAACAAGTATATAATGACATAGCAATTTCTACATAAACCTTGTAAAAATAGTTTCTATTAAGTTTCGGCATGCAAAATAGAATATATCACCATTACACATGCAATAAAATTTGAAGTGTTTACACTTCTTGTCAAGGTAAAAAACAATTATAAAATGGAAAGGCGTTATAGTATTCATTTAGAGTACACTTTTCTTCATGCAAAATAAAAATATAGTTCTATCTATACCAATTCACGTAAAGCAGGTATTTTATATATCGATAGGTTTAGCAGAATCCACTGCAGCTCCATTATGTTATCGATAGTAATTTTCTATAGAATGAAGTTCATCGAAACAGCCATCACATTTTAGGCGACACCAGAAACTGCGGAGTCATTTTGGCTACAACACTAAATCATGGTAAACCATAATTGGAATAATATGCTACGAATGTTTAATAGTCAGCTTACATTAAATGGGTTACCTCCCGGTCTGCTATATCACCTACTTTTTTACATCCGTGTTCGGAAAAACTTTTACGGCACCTATCAGCATTGACGGTATGAATTTGAGAGTAGATCAATTTAATAAGATCATTTTTACGCTCTGGCTTATCGAGGGTTGACACTTCATGATCTTTCAACTTCCTAGTAAGGCTGGCATCAATGCATTGCAGAACATGGGTCATGTCCAACGGGAGGAAAGGGACGAAAGAGCTGACTAAACAATGCTTAACAAATTCGGACGAAGCGAAACCCGTACGCGATGTAGAATCGTCGGCCGATGTACCACGGTAACTGATTTTTCTAATGATATCATAAAAATTTTCTGAATCGAAATCGTCAACCTCGGTTGTTACTGTAAACTGTCTGCAAGCTTCTTCATTGATTTCTCGAGAGGCATAATTACTGGTGAATATAAATATGGTATTTGCATAGCTGACATTATCCACGCTACTTTCGTCGAAATACGGAGATAAAGCATCGATGACTCCAGCTTCCAGTTTATCCACTTCTTCGAATAGTACTAGTGGCCTAGTACACGATTGCACAAATCTCTTGATTTCTGTCTTGAGTTTGTGTTTCTTACCGTCCATATTAAGATTAGTTAGGAAATCTTTCAGATGAATACGACGAACATATGAGCTACTTAGACCATTTTTATATAATACTTTAGCAAGTAACTTGGCAACCAAAGTTTTGCCAGTACCAACGCCACCATGAAAAGAGAGAACTAAAGCTTTTTTCGACGTTTTCTTTGAAATTCTCACTAAATGGCTAGTTAGCATATTCCTGATGATTTTCAAAGCAAGATCTTGTCCGAAAACATGCTGCTTCCATTCCTTAGTCAACTTTGCCTTGAAAATGTTGGGATCGTGGATAGCCCACTCGGCATTATCGCATTCCTTGAATTGGCAATATGCATATTCTCCAACTTTGTAAGTAAAAGGAATCGCAACACTCCATCCAACTAACGCAGCTGTAAAAAATTCGCTGTTAACTTGAACGAAGTAATTAGCTGCTAGTAATAGAAGACCAAGGTTGCAAGAGAAAATGAGTGATCGAGAAAGGTGCATTCTACTTTCCTTGTTTGCATTCGCTATTGATGCTGTATCTGCGTATTTTAAGCATTAGGATAAATAAATTATATAATTATTGGTAGCCTTGACCACTAATAGCGTATTCGCTTTTGAGCAAGTATTACAAACTGGTTATTATACCGTACTAATATTAACTTGTAATCTGCCTTAAGCCGTCAACAAATGCCGGGAAAACTATTACCTTAACAGCTCATTATGAACATCCATGACCAGTAGACGTTTGTATACAGTAAACTGTCAGTAGTTGCCAAGATTGGCGCCACTTACTACCCTATCTAAACTTAACATTTCTTACTATCTATGATTGCAGGCTCGTACGAATTAACATACTGTACGTCAACTTTTTACGCGTCGATTATTTCTATCGGCTCCACTGAAAACTAGTGAACAATATAGCTATTGCAATGACAGTTTATGGTTAACATCAACTACGGTGCTTAGACAATTTAGTTTAGTACAGTATCCATTGGATATGTGTAGATTAATTATTTGACTTGTTACCCTACCTAAGGATACTTTTCTTACATTATTTACTTTCTATGATTGCAGGCTCATACGAATTAACCTGCTTCAATTTAGATTTTTTCAGTACAGCCATTGCATTGGCAGTTCATGGTTAATATCAACTACAGTAGTTGGACAATTTCGTACAGTATCCATTGCATACGTGTAAATTAATCATTTTACTTATTACCATACCTAAGGTTACTTTTATTTTCGTTCTATCGATTGGCTGTAGGCTTGTACAAACGCGATCACTTCTTCCAACGAAATGGACGAATAAACGAATCCACATGAAGGAATCTGTTTAAGCGGTGGACAATTGATGATGCTGTATCATACCGCGATACCGGTGCACAGTACGTTACCGTCTGTACCTCTGTACGTCCGTAGGGTCTCCATTATAGTACTAAGTACTGTACTGTCAGGGACTTTTCCTCTCGTGTCGCTTACCGATGATTTACAGTATAGTACCATGGACTAATACTGTATTAGTAACTTTAACACAATTTATGTAAATTTAAATAACATATTTACATAAAGCGTCTTATTTGCAATAGACTGATACAAAATTTGTCTAATTTAGTATTGAAATTGTGCTTTCATATAACTTCAATCGTCGTAGATTTTTTATGAGACATCTGGTAAGATTTTATGGTCCTATACAGTACAGTACAGTACAGTACAGTACAGTAAAGTACAGTACAGTACAGTACTGTACAGTACAATCTGACCCTAGTGTGTACTGTACAGTACAGTACAATACTGCACTGTAAATACTGTAGACTGGATTTGCTGCTGCTCTCACAGGCAGCTAGAAAAGCGGTCGCAACTGAAGGCATCAGCGATTGATTGAAATGAATTGCAAATCCGAAATATCGACTACCATGCAAAATGAATGAAAATCAACAATCCGACGACGCTTTCCTGAACTGTATTGATTTATTACAAGCATCGGATAATGATAGCCAAAAATTCGCTGCTCTCTTACTGGTATGTTGACGATAACTATCAAGTCAAAAGGATAAGTCGCTACTTTCAATCATACGAGTGTTGAGCTAAATAAGCGCCTAGTATTGTTTGTAAACTACAGAGCATTTTGTAGTGGGCCACCGTGGTAGATGGAGGGCTCAATCTTATCAATTGCATTTTAAATGCCTAAAATTCAATCAGTATATGCATCGAGTCAGATAGGATACAAACATCAACTCTCTCATGTTATTGGAGACTATAGTCATGAATAATATTTCATCACCGTAAAAGGTAGTGCTTTTGCTAGTATGATAACGGCTAAGGATCGAAGCCTATGTAGCAGACATGATCCAACGACTCTATCGATGTGCGTTGGAAAAGTTAGCATTTCAGGACCAACATTTTATTTTGTAAGCTAATTTTCAGCAACTGAGTTGATAACGATTTATTTTGAAAGGTTACAAAGTTGATACAATCAGAAAATTTGAATCTTGAGAGCAAGAGAAGACTCTTTTCTGCCATTGGAGTAAACTTTATTATTCGCCTACTAAAGTCTGGTAAGAACTGCAGATAGCTTATCGCTGTTGGAGCATTCATTTGTCAATCCTGATAGATTAATAGTCTGTTAAGTGTTAAGCTAATCCTAGATACAAAGTACATCATACACAAATATGCAAACAGCTTGATAAAAATAATAGAACGTCTGCAATAAATAGCTTGAATAGGATGCTCAAATAATTCTATATTTAAATGCAAAGCGAAATCATCCGTTATAATTATTTATAAACAATATTATTTAAATGTGCGCTTGCAGCTCAAGTTCCATCAGGATGTGATCCAAATATATTTAAGACCTTGGCTGTCACTGTTTTATCCGCTTTTTGCGATGACGAAGCCATTGTAAGTTAAATTGATGAAATTTCAGCTGCTGCAATCTACATGATGCTGCTGCGTGTATATTATCACAACCATGGACGATTATATGTAATTTAGTAGTCTCATGTCACGAGCAATCTGTATCAATGTATCTAATTTGTTCATAATCCAATTGATCTATAGGTGAAAATTAATAAATAAGGGAATGATACTAATTTCTATTTGGTAGACCACTTCGCGTAGATTGTAGTTATAATTTAAAGCTCTTTGTATGCATGACTACTCGCAGTTACAATTATGTAATGTAAATATTCATTTCTTTATTAGGTTACTGATTCAAGTATGGAGGAGTGTTTGCACCACGTTTTGCACATTGTGGAAAGGTAAAAAATGAATTCAATAAAATCAATCTGCTGTATTTACACCAAGAATCCTTAATACCTTATAGTTTCACGTTAACATTTTTTTTGGAAGTACTTCGCAAGGCTTCCAGTCACAAGCTGAATGCTATCAATGTTTACATGCTGCTTCATCATATCAAGTTGGGCGTCAGTATTTACTGAAACTTAACGCTATAGAGACGCTGTCAAGGATCGTTACTAAATGTGAAACTATCAGTGGTGAGTGTAATACCACAACAATTACATAGGCAACTATTCGCTAACACATAGAACGAGCATCGCAATATGATCAGAAATTCAGCTTTTAGTCAATGGTAATTAGGGCTCATGGTCAAATTGTGATTTTTTCCAATGCTACCTAGAGTCTGAATCACCTCTTCAAATTCTCCTTAATCTGTTACACGACTGCAATTTATCTCTGCCCGAACAGAAAGCTTCAGTTACCTCTCTATTAGAATTTTCAAGTCATCAATTTGCTACAAACCACGTATGAATAAGAAACATTTACTATTGCTATTGCTATTAAGACGTCCTACTATTCTTTCCAAGCTAACATATATTCATGAATCTAAAATAGGAAAATGAGAAATTTGTTATCTGTCGAAAGATATCTGCCATTTTGCTAGCAACGAAGGTAATTCTGTAATTTCGTTATATCCTCGTTACTAGATAATCTTAAAATATTACTACATCGACTGCTATAGTGACTTACTTGTGACAATGGTTGTGCTTTATTAGTCGTTTAATGAAAATTATTTGAAGAGAGAAATAGCACAGGGAAGCATTTGGATAATTGATCATTTTATTTAATATAACGAACAGGGCTGCCAAGATATTCTGGGGCAATCATCCATAAAGTGTATTAGGCAAGGATTGTGGGATATCTTAAGAAGTAGAGTAGGTATGACTATTAATACGTCTTGATATAGCATTTCAATGTAGGAAAAAGGCGTCTAAAACTCCTGAATTTATATGCAGGTGCGAAGCATCGGGAGCCAACGTTTGAGCTATGTGCTGAAATGATCCGAAAAATGCAATTTATTTGGATTAAAAGTGACGATTTGCAATATACGTATGTTTTAGGGTTAAGATTAGAGTTTACATTGATTGCAGAAATTTATCTACTGAAAATATAAAGTTTCTAAAAATGCATATAAAGGTCAAATGATTTACTACGGCGTTGTTGCTTAGGGAAGAAGATATCAAAATGTTACTGATATTAGTTAACCTAAGCTGTGTGGTAAGGCCAACGTTGCTACTTCTTATGCTTTAATATTGGGTAAACGATAACGCATTTAAGAACTTATATGATATATCTTACAATTGATGTAGGAAGTGCAAGTGCAGTTAAAAACTAACGCCCCTGGACAAGTAATTTATTTGTCACTAATCTATTACTTCATTAGAATATGTATTGCATTACTGACAAGCCCAATGTTTTTGGCGCTGTAGCTCTTTCTAGATACTTGTATATTATCTAGCTGTTTCTTCATAATCGAGTCCTTCATCTCGTGTATTTCTAGCCCAACCGGTAGATAGGAACAGTATTTGCATTGATGTCTTATTAATTTTCGAAAGTAATTCAATAATCTTTGCTGGTATTATCTCAAGGGTTTCTAATATTTCTAACCATCTAGATATCGCTAAACAAGTCACTAATGATCATATTATGTATTTACGGCCGATGCTAAATGAGACATTCATAAGTGTCACTGAATATGTTCAAATGATAACAATGGAGAAGAATTTCTTCAATGTTAGTACTTCATATAATCGTCTTAATAGAGGTTAATGTCTTGAATTATACCGATTGTAATTGCAGTTTATTCTTACTGTTTCATTTGACGCTATTATTGTCAACTCTATTGCATTACATATAGAAGCCGGAGCCTTTGTTGATCGCTTGTCTTCGACTATTGGCAGCTTATTTAGCTGAAGATTCTTCATTATCCAATCGGATTTATGAAGTTTTACCCCATATCTTAAAAATATCGTAAGTACCACAGCTTTATTGGACTGCATATTGAGATCGTGAATATACATACCCAAGATAAATCTTAGCCGTAGCAGACACTTTATGAGTTCTCTATATCTTATGATATTTTGATACTTAAAGATGCTATTTCGATTTATTTTACAGTTACGTCGAATTTGATCAAGCGACAGCAGAAGGTTGGTATTATAACGATTGAATTGCCTTATTTATTACAGGGAAACATGGTATAGATAGATATAATATTGTCGTCATTTGTGTTTATACTAGGTAGTCTACTTGATGATTCGCGTGGAGCATTACTAATACGTTTCTATTTGCCGGGCTTGTGTCATTTAACGGCTGAAGAAGATGCTTGTAAAATTATGGCGGATAATGGTGGGATTAGCTTTTTAACCAAATACTTTTTGAGAATGTATTCAGATTTTAGCAAGAAAAGGTAACCTGCAGTAGTAATGATTGATCAGTATAAGTACGATGTAGTAAAAAAATAGCAATAACATATTTTTTCATTTGTCGATATCTAAATGGCTACGTTGATGAAGATTACAACGAAATGACAAATCATGCGATATCGAGTTCTTTGAGGTTAGATGTGTTAAATGCATGATAATATATGTCGTTATCATAGTTTGCTTTATATTTCTAGCACGATTTGCAGTATTGCCTGCGATATCTAAAGGCCATAGTTTTGTTGTTTTCAGACTACTCTTAAGCTGTTGTGTGGCATTTTCTTGAATATTTCGTTGGTGTATCCGACTGCAATAAGGTCTTGCCCTGAATGTTCAGGAATGTTGACTACTATGCTTGTAAATAGTGATGTGGACGGTATGTGATAACTATCGCAGTTTTGTTATATTGCACTAAAATGTATGGGTATAGTATTAGTTAATTAATGGTTGAATGTTTTTATCCTTATTTTAGTTGATGCAGTGTCTACTACTGTAGCCATTAACATAACTGCTTTAAGTTTTGCTCTAATTGAGTGCAAGGCTAATGCAAAGGGTAAGTCGCAGAAAGTAAAGTATATTTACTTCAGCTACCTGATTACGTGTAAATGAATTGAAAATTTGTTATCCTTCATCATTATTAAATCAATAAAGGTGGCATAGATATGATGCCAAATGATACTTTTAAAGCATCTTTAGCGAATAAATTAAATTTCATCGGTTTGGCAACCCCTAATGTTGTATTAAACAGCAATGATAGACCAAGCAATTGGGAAGAACATGTAGAACTTTGGACTGTTGTAAACAGAGGTATATTAAATAAAATAGTTAAATCGATACCTAATGATGTACGCCCTGCAATAAATCTGGAATGCTGTTTGCATGTATGATTTAATCTACTGGTTGTGATGATACTTTGCTAATGCATAACAAGATAGCAGATTTACTTAGCTTATGATTAGTTTTATTAAATAAAATCCCGCAATTCACGTACTGTATATGTTATAGTGGCAATAGGGATCATATAGATTTCCAGTGTACATATATTCAAGTTAGTGATTGTAATCTTGCTCTTTCGGATTTTAATAGCATTACTAGGAGTGCTTCGGTTGAATGTAGACTATTACATGGAAATTGTCAATAAATCTACTTTTTTGCAATCGGTCTATGACTGGACACAAGTCTTATCAGGTAATTATCGATTATTTGATTTGCTACTTTTATCTTTATTGCAGGTCCTTATATACTAACTCGGGTGTTTCTATTTTTAGTCAGTAACCACATCTATGAACAAAACAATTACATGATTGATTTACTACAAACTGTAGAAGAATTATTTATTTGTTGCATTCAATGTCGTCATGGATTGAGAACAATACAGAAAATGATTGAACCTAAATCTTGGGCTACAATGATTAGGTAAATAATACGTATAAAATGCTTAATTACAGATTTATTGGCTATCTACGGGTACTGCTAGTTATTCTAGACGTCAATCAGGGGAGTTATTGATGAAAAATAGTTATTTTTACCGTTTCTCATAATCCATGGTTATCTGAATTGTCTTTGAAACTGGAAATTACTAAATTTCTTTACTTGCAATATTTACTTTTCTGCTCGAGCAGTAGTTGATCGGCTACATTTCATTGCATAGCACGCCAATGCCAATTTAGAGAAGCACGGTTGTAAATTGTATTTTTGTGAAGAGGTGTTTGAAACGTATTTACAATTTCTAGTAATCAGGTTTATGAACTTGATGATGTCTCTATATCCTTAGGTATTCTGTTTAAATGATTTGTTCACTACTTTATGATAGGAATCTCAACATGGCCAGATTGAAAGATTACGTAGATATCACTCATGTAAATGTTGACTAAATACTCACCGTACTCTCTTTGAAAAATATATTGAGCTTTATGTGGACAGCTTCGTTTAGGATCGAACGGTATCAGTATCTAAAACTGTTTGTTGATGAGGCTACCATTGCGATTATTTATCGCTTCACTAGATAGACTGTATTTTTGTACACTTGGTGATTTGTGATTTCATTAGGTTCACTAAGAAATAAATTTGAATAACTTTTGTTTTATAATTCTACGGAAATTAATAAAAGTTGTTATGCATATCGAATGAAACGGTAATACGCACGTTTTGAACAATTTATGTGTCATCCCCTTGTGAAAATTTGCCATGAGTTGGCCACATTATTAAGAAGATCAAGGTGACATTTTACAATAAAATTATTTCAATTACTCATCATTTTTATTCCTGGAATACGCATACTTAAAACTTGACAATGTATTGAAATAAGCCATCACTATAATCACTTGTAATTGCACGTGGTTTGATAGGGAGGAGTGTTAATGCGCTTCAGAGTATAACAAATAGTATTGTATAGGCCACTTAAGAAATTTAATTGCTTGGCCTTAATGAAAAATGCTTATCTCTGAAACAACTATAATTGTATAATTAATATTCATTTATAGTGAAGAATGCATAAATACAGTACTGAATATGCATAGCTCTAACAATAACATTTTAATCTATTATAAAAGGTCAGGATAATCATGCGGAAATGTTTACATAAGCATGAAATTATCCCTTATTACATTAGCCAGAACGTTAAAATTGTTTAATTAAGTTGATACCTTTGTCTTAAACAATTATTCCTGTAAGGGTGGAGCAATAGGGTGGGTTGTACTGAAGTTATCATTAAGCAGAAACCGCGATCAATTATCGTTCATAACTCCTGTTCACTTATCGCAGTGGATCGGTAGGAAATTGCTATTAGAAGAATTAGGTGTCGGACAGTTTTCAAGTTATCAATAATTTGAATTAGCTTCTACGTTGACAAGATCATTTCTTCAGTGGCTATTGATATTAAAATTCATTGAAAGCCATAATCCTATTTTTGCTATATCGTATTATCTTGCACACTTTATTACCAGTAAAAAAAGTTGGTAACTGAAGAATTATGGCTATTTTACGTCTTTTATTCATATTTTCCATATGTACTCTTGTGGTAAAAGCCCAGATGATGTCAGGTGAATCTGACGTTTATTCGATGTCCAATTTTGAATTTATCACCTCAGGTTATGATGATGGATCTCAGCAACTATCAACTGCAATTCAAATGTTATCGATACAGTCAATAAGTTCTGCATCTGTTACTACATTTGTTTATACCAATAACCTGCGTAGCTCTCAACAATTCGCTCCATCATCGATAAGCGTGCCACCTAGTGATGTCGGTTCTTTGACAAGCAGTGTATCTACTTATGATTTGACTGCCAGTCAATCGGTCGTTCCTACTTCAACTACTGGCAGCAATACTAGTGCTACAGCTGGTACTTCAGTTAGTGCCCCATTTAGTGCTTCCATTAGTGCTTCAGTCGGCCCTTCAGCTAGTGTTACACGTAGTGCTAGTGCTAGCGCAGGTTCAAGTACTATTGCTAATCCTACTGCTAGTTCTAGTATTAGTGCTAGCCCTACTGCTAGTTCTAGTATTAGTGTTAGCCCTACTGCTAGTTCAAGAACTATTGCTAATCCTACTGCTAGTTCTAGTATTAGTGCTAGCCCTACTGCTAGTCGAGCGATTGATTACACGCCAACAAGTAGTTTCGACGACTCGGGTGAAAGTGATGCTGAAACAATTATCATCATTAATCCAACAACGGCTACCAGTTCCAAGTCTGCAAGTCCCTCTGCGGCAACAAGCGTAGCTGTATCAGCTTCAGCTTCTAAATCATCGACGGCAGCAAGCTCAATGGTAGCTCAGCCAAGCAGTACATCTACTCCATTTTCTAGCTCAGTGGCTCCTACACCAACACCAACAACTCTTGCTCCAACGCCACCATCAGCATCACCATCAACTCCAACTCCAACTCCCACCCCAGGTAAGCATATTTTGGTAGGTTTTAGTAATACATTAAGTTACGGCAAAATATGATCAACGTCATGTATAATTATCATTATTTTCAGACGTAAATCATACAATATACAGTTTCATTCCCTCCTATCTTTAGACAATATAGTTACTGTATTGCTCATGTATAATTTATTAGTTAAAGACACATGAAATTCGTAATTATTGCTGTATTAAAACAGAGATAATCTATAATGCGGTAATTTCGGTACGGTACCATAATCTTCTAAATTTAATCAGCTTAGTTAACGGGATCCCATCACTTTTTATCCACCATAATGGACGCACTAATTTCTCATAAATAATATTAAAGTCATTACTGGCTTCCCCGTAGTAATGAATAAGTTTAACTTATTTAAAATTCGACGCATCAGTTTACCGCTCGTATAAAGAGTATTTTGATTAATTATTATGGAATTTGATGAATTTTCTTTTAATGAAAATTAAAGATGCGACCACTTGCCGCTAGGGAAAGTTACTAATTTAAAGATTTTACATGTACCCTCCTAAGAATATTACAACTGATATTGAATTTATCTTATTTAGACTCTGGTTCATTACGCCCATTCAGTACCAAAAATATGGTGCCGCTAGGTTATGCTTGTCAGCCGATGACAGTTCCTCAGACAGTTGGTCTACCATTCTATGGCAACCTCTATTATACCGCATACGTAAGTATCCAAAACGATCTGAGCATGCATGAAACAACGAAACTGGCTAAAATCTTTTACCATTATAGAGTTAATGATAGTCCTACAAAATTCATGATAATATACTGTATCGTATATACTCCAGCAGTCGCTTTACTTTTCCCGAAATACGAATACTGTTATACAGTATAAACGTGTTGCAGTCTTTATCTTACTAGTCTCCACCAATGAATAGTTATCTACATGACATCTATCGCCGTCGGGTAATTAACTCTGACTTTCATATCCATATGTTATAGTTATTAAGGCCAAGTGAAGATTATTAGTAATAACCTCTTCGAATTGCTTTGTTTCTAACAGCTTTCATGAATTATTCATGCTTTCGTAGTTTAAAGTATCTATCTACAGATATACGTGAATGTATATCCTAGACAATTGCATGATCTATTTTTAAGAAGTATTTAAGAATGTTATGACTAATTCCTTATTATTTTATTTATCTCAACAATATTTATAATATCTTTAATAATAAATTTCGTTCTATGTAAAATAAATAAAATCATATTCTTCCTTCCGTTTCATTTTGCACTTTAGATTTGTGGAAATGGCATGATTACCTTTAGTACAAATAGTTGGATCAATTACAGATTTCCTAAACCATTCGGAAGTCCTGGATCGCTAAGATCTTTATCCGTTGCCGCCCCATTTTGGTCGTTAGTTTCCTTACAACAGCCAGTTAATTCTGGTACTTTCTACGAGCCTCTATCTGATAGCTTACTCGCAACATATAGTAACGATGTTCGAACGGCTCTTAATATTCAACAATTCGCCGCAACTTGGGGCCTCCAAGTTACTTGGTATAGATTGATTGCAAATGAAACCGCTTTAACTTCTCCGGTGAGTACTGCATACTGTATATTATTAAATTGTAGCAATGTTTGCATGATTTTTTTGTCATTCTCGGAAGAATTTTTCTCACGAGACATCATTCTTGAAAGTATTGACAGGATCGCATAAATTTATAGTTACTAGACTTGATCTATGCATATAAATTACAGTGTCAATGACTGAAATATTTTGGCATATAAATATTAGTATGCTATGAATTGATTAATCGTATTTTAATATACCATACCTGTGCTGTTCAGACCAATACCTTCCAATGTCAATTAATAACGGATGGTACCAACAGTTATGTGCTCTATCGCTATCCTAAGAACAGCCTGCAATGGTCATTGCCACAGGAAAATACCTATTTAAATAGCTTAGGTATTGGATCTCCTGTCGCTGGATATAACAATGGTCCCAGCTTTTTCAATATTAGGCAGTCAGCTACCGGCGGCATCAATACAGTTGTGACTGGTACTGGCAACACTGGAAAACGCGGATTTTGGATATACAGGTAATTATACTATTTGCAATCCATCTAGTCGTTAATATGTACGATTTCCGATTCTCTCACACTTTACAATTCGTTACAAAACGTTTAGCCTATCAAGTAATGTAGAAAGACCTCCAGAAGGATCATGCAGAAATTTCCTCACGCAACCTGCTCCAACTTCATTGCAAGCCATTTCCAGATGCCCATGCTCACTTGGTCAAGCCATTTTGGATCGTCGATTTATATTTGATAGTGCTAATTCTGCTACTCAGTTGTGTTACTATTCACGCTATATTGTCAACAACTTTGTTCAGAAATGTTGCTATCAGAACTTCTCTCCTGGTTTTGGATCATATCTTAGTGGAATCTCTAGCCCTGGTGCTGGCTATATCGTAGGTTATACTAATAATGCATATGACAATACTGGATATGGTTTCTGTTGCCATCCAGCAACACCACAATCTTTATGTGTAACCTTCTACAATAATTATCCAAGTCGAGAATGTCAGATTTCACCACGCTTAAGTAAGTTACGTTAGTTATTATACTGAGGATGGAAATATTTGTATCAGACTTCATATTATACATCTTAAATTGGAGATTGATTCTAATTTTATTTTATAATATTTTCATTTACGATTAGCTTGGAGTTTTGGAGACCCTCATTTCACTACGTTGGATGGTGTTCGGTACACATTTAATGGCCTTGGCGATTTTGTTCTATTGCAAAATAGAACAGCAGTTGTACCCGCCCTTGAAGTTCAGGCACGATGCGTAAAAGTAGCCCCAAATGCTGGTGCAACAGCATTCCGAGCCGTTGGTGCATCTGAAGGCAATAGCGGAAGCATAGAATTTAACGTTAATACTGCAACAAATACTATCGATATTTTATACAACAAGCAGACTGTTGTTATTGGCAGTTCGGGCTCAACGACTTACCAAAGTGGCTTAATTGTTAACAAACTCAATACTACTTACGCTATCGCCCAATTTCCATCAGGTTAGGCTAAAATTAAAATGATTAAGAATGCAACTGATTAAATTTTAAATTGTTGTTGTTTTTGGATATTAAAAACTGGATTTTTTCCTCATATGAATACTTAAGGTACCGTTGTCATCGCTAAAGTCCGAAATGATTCCTTTATGGATATAAGCATGCAATTATCTGTTAATTACTTCGATCAAACGCAAGGCTTGCTAGGTCGATGGGACAACAATGCGAATAACGATTTCACTGATCAAAGAACTGGAGTGAGCTTCCTAATCTCTGCTGTTTCAGAATCACAAATTCACAACATAGCAGAAACATGTAAGATCAAGAATCATAATTTTTAGTATAAATACGCAAATAATACTACGACCGTCTGTCGTTAGCTTATTATTTTACTAATTTTTCTATCTATTTACTGAAGTTATATGCTAAATGATTGTCGTCCGCGTATGCTAATATCTTATGAGTAACATAAACAGAGTTTGCATGAAAAATCGTATATCATGAAATGATCGTTGTTGAAATAAAGCAACCAGGCTCTGTAATAAAGTGACTAAAACGTTCTATTTTTAATTTTAAATTAAAGGGGCCGTGGATCCGCTGAAACGACTAATAGCAAATGATCCACCTTCGAACTCATCTTATGTACCGATCTTTCCCGCAAATATCACATTCAGCTCACAACAGTTGGAAAATGATGCTGCATCAGTATGTCAAGGAAATCAAGCTTGTTTATACGACGTTGCGTTAACTGATTCATTAAGTATTGGTTCAGCATCTGCAGCGGTGGATCAACAAAATACTGTCGATAAGCAATCCTTAGGTAAGTTGTTGAACGTAAGTTAGGATTAAAAAGTTATATGGGATCGTTGATTTAGCGAACCAATAAATCATGGAAAGTTAACCGATGTCATATCGCTAACCAAAAATCTACTGGTAATAAATGTGGAAATATTTAATGTAATCGAACCAATTATTTCTCTAAAGATCACAGACCTCCGCAGATTGTTACACCGAAATCAACAATCAATGCTACTATTGGGGAAAAAATTGTTTTTCAAGTATCCGCTGATAGCGCCCAACAGTATACAATGACTTATACTATTAGCGGCAAATTACCTGCAGATTATTCTTTTCCTAATGGCAGCGCCGATGGTACTTTTGTATGGAATGTTACTTCAGCTGATCCTATTTCGATCACTTTTGTTGCAACTGATTCACAAGGTAGATCAAGTGCAATCACACCCAAGATTAGCATTTGCAACTGTTCGAGTAATGGCCAATGTATGTGGAATGCTGCCATTGGCTCTACATTTGCATTGGTCCCGTGCACTTGCAACGCTGGATATACTGGTTTACAATGTGAAAGTGATATCAATGCTTGCGCATTAAATGGAGAAGCATGCTTCCCAGGAGTTACCTGTACTGATCAACCAGCTCCAGCGGGTATCGATGGTTTTACATGCGGATCATGCCCTAGTGGTACAGCCGGTGATGGAAAAGTCTGCTCAGGTATGTTTTTCTTTTATGTTATTACTAATAAATTAAAATAGATATCTAATAAGATTTGAAATAATCGATTTAGATATACAGGAGTGCAGCGGATCTACACATGGTTGCAATCAAGTCTGTGTTGAAATTTTTGGTTCCTATAGATGTCAGTGCAATCCTGGGTACCGATTATCAAATGACTCAAAAACATGCACTGGTGAGTCGAATTCTATAAGAAATAGAATAAAATAAGAAAGAAAGTAAATTGAGTAATAGATTTTTTGGATTTCAGATATTAATGAATGTTTGGAACAAAATGCTTGTAGTCAGCGGTGTGTCAACACAGCTGGAAGTTATACCTGCGGTTGCAGATCTGGATTTACTCTACAACAAGATGGCCGAACTTGTACCAGTAAGTTATCGCAATACTAGTACTCTACTGAAAAAGTTTACATTTCTGGTCAAAACAATGCCTTTACTCTTGTGTTTATCGTTTTATAGGCTATCGATATATAATTGTAATTATTACTCTTTTCCACAGGCAATAGCCCCTGTCAAACCAATAACATTTGCGGCATTCATGCATGTAGCTTTATTAATGGACAAGAAGTCTGTGAGTGTAATAATGGTTATGCTCTTAACTCTGCCAAAGAATGTGCTGGTAAGATAGCGTCATAACTCACTATATATGTACAGTATATGATTTCTTGATCAATTGATTAACGTTCCAACACTAACGCTATCAATCGATTCAATTCATAGATATAAACGAATGCGCTACCAACAACGGAAATTGTCAGCAAGTCTGTATTAATACTATAGGTAGCTATCAATGCAGTTGCAATTCTGGCCAGGAATTGAGACCTGATGGCAAATCATGCGTTGGTAAATCTATTTTCCTTAAAGTTAATCATTTGCAATATCCTTTTTTATCACTTTGTAATGATATTTGGTTGCTAATCGAACGCTATTGATGTCCTTAAATAAAAAAATAAAAGTTTCTGACGATTAAATGCGTTTCCTTTTTAGATCTTAATGAATGTAATTTGCATACCCATGACTGCGATTCAACTCAGTTATGTCAAAATACTCCTACATACTATTATTGTATTTGCAGACCTGGATTTACTTTTATCAACGGCAGATGCCAAATTGGTAGGTTACACAGTCAAATATATACCTTGATTTTTACTTCATAAGTTGCTGTAAGTTGCTCAATTACGTCAATGATAAGTTAATTTATTAATCAAATGGGATAGTGTGTTGTATCGAAAGATTTGCTGTACGTAAAACTGTTTGATTGCTAGAAAAATCTCTCGATCTAATGTTAATAAATTTGTACTTTTGCAGCTCCACAGAATTATAAACCTCCAGTAACACCGATACCCGGCGTTTTGCAAAATATGAGTTCCGTTCAGGCGACTTTCCGATACAGTGCTGCTCCATCTGTGAGTAATGCATTCTATTTTATTCGTATAATTCAGTTAAATAATTTCATTCATTATATCATATGTTTCTATTAGATTAAATTATAAATTTCTAATTTAAATATAACATATTTCATTCCTTACTTAAATTATCCTGTTTAGTGGAGCCTCGATACTAGGATTCGCTTTAGAGCTGCAGTAGCTGCTGTTGCAACACGCTATTGTCAGGCGAATCTGCAGATATGTAACCTAACATCAAGGTTAATAAAACTGAAGAGCTAATTTCTTTTCGAACCTTATTACTTGATCATACAAGATACAAATCAAAATATGTTTCATTTTTATTCATAGTGTCAAATTCCAGCAAAATAATGTACAATTTCTGACTGGTTTCCCTGTAGCTATGGGGTATGCTATTTTAAACTGTCTTAAGAAAGCAATTCATTCAATGATACAATTATAAATACTAACATGATGTAAAGATAATTAATCATCTTTTTTATATACTATTAATTTATAGTAATAATGAAGTGGCTGCTTTCTATGTGAATATGCCTAATTCACAGAATACTTTACCTCGTCCGGCTCTCCTTTACGTTGTTGAGGCTAACAATCGGCATTTACCTGCTGCCGTTGGTGCTGATGCTCTTATTGCTGTCAGTACATTTATACCAACGCCGACTCCACCAACACCCAGACCAACTACTCGGCCTACAACACCAACAATGTCCGCCACCACGCAACCTACATCAAGACCTACAATAAAAGCAACATCGCAAGCTACAACACCACCAGTTACGTTAGCAACACCTCAAAATAATGACGCACTCATCATTGGATTAACAATTGGATGTGGTAGCGGTTTCATTCTGATTCTTTTTGCCGTTGTGGGGTAAGATAGTCTAAAAATTGGATAAAGATGTGGATGAAAATTGTCTAGTTGATTAAATTACCTATTATGATTGGATTTGAAAAATTTGATAATATAATTGATGAAATTTCTTTTCTTTTATTACCAGTTTCTGCTGTCGAAATACCAAAAATAAGCCGAAGCTCTACGAGGAAAGAGAACATGAACTCAAAAAGCTTAATAATTTTTAATATCATAGAAGGAAAATTATTCTGGTAGAGAAAGTAAATAGTAATAGTCTACTAGTGTAGTTTATTAGATGATATGCTTTAAAAAATATGATATATCTAATTTCATAGTATTTTTAACCGTACCATTAGCAATCACTATAATTTTTATTAAATCATGTGGATATTGCGAAAACTGTTGGTATTAAGGATGCCTATATTAATTATAGGAGCTTTTACTAATGTCTTAAAATATCCTTAATTCTATAATCACAGTGTCTTCTAGATTTTGAGAATTTTTATAGTTCGGAAATTATTCATATTTTCGTTCATCATTTCTCTTATTAGTAACAATGTTAGATATAGTATTGCTAAATTTAATATCGAGAAAGATGTTCGTCACATCAGAAATACTAGAAAGATTTTAAAACACATGATTTCTAGCATCTATCTATTTTTTTTTTTCTGTACGATTAGCTCTCAAATGCTTGTCTATGCAAGCACTTACTGCATTTAATTTGAATAACAATTTATTACGTGAAGCATTATCTCAGATAAGCTTACACGATTGTTATTATGTTCTTATTTGTAATATTCAACCAAGATAGACGGGTATGTCCAGTTTAACTATACTTATATGGTTCATATGTCTGTCTGTAATTCGGAATTTTTTCCTATGCAATGCTAAATGAGTGACGAATTATCGAGGATAAACGTACACCTGCATTGTTTAACAATATTTTGTGTTCGCCTACGACTTTGATTCTAAATATGTTATTTTTACATTGATTTCAAATAAAAATTACGGTTTTATAAAGTACTGTTGATCCATTACAACAAAATATAAAATTTCTGATCTTTTTGAATTGATTAACGGTTATAATTCTAACTTAATTTAGAAAATATTTTAATCATGGATCAGAGCATAGCAATAAAATGTTGTAATTGTACAGTGTGACAAGAATGCATAGCTACATGTTACCTATTCGTGTATATTAATTAAACCCCAGCCTATTAGCAAGGCAGGAAACGTAAACCTTACTAATGTAGCCTAAATGCAGAGTTGAATCGAATTACAGTACATACAGCTGTATTGCTTTACATTTAATGCGAATCAAAGTTTGCAACGAAGAAAACTTAACATTACCACTAGTAAATTAAACTCTATGAGCCTACTGTCATGTCTGTCTTCTCCGACATTAAACTGTTAAACCATATTTATATAACTCCCTAAATATTGACGACCTTCATCGTGCTACTACTTCTCATTGATACGCTGTTTCAATCCCAACATAAACATCAGTATGTATACGGACGTAGCTTCACGTAATTATGTAAGTTAAAGTAAAAATTACTGCACTATGAAAAAAGGTGTCGTTATTTTTCTGTTGTAGATGATAATTCTACAGAGTCCTACAGAACAGGACTCATAATAAAGAAGTTAATACCTATACAATCACAATTATATAACCCTAAACATTGACGACCTTTATTATATTACTACTTTGTAATGATATATTCTATCAAAGGTACATAAAAACCAGTATCTATAAGAATGTGCCTTTACGCAATTATGTAAGTAAAAGTAAAAATTACTGTACTAAGAACAGATATATCGTCATTGATCTGTTGTAGGCGATAATTCTATGGGGTTCTGCAGTGCAGGACTCAAGATAAAGCAGTTTACCATGTGAAGGTGTTGAAGTTTACGGTACTTATTCTTAAGATTTACTCACTATAATACTAAAGTAAATCTGCCTATATTTTTAATAATTGCAGGTAGATTTACTTTATTTATTTATCTACTACTGTTTGTATTATCGCGATATTTAGTCTACGTAGATAGATATGTTATAGACAAAGTACGAAAATCAGGTATTGTAGATCTTTCCTGAGTATTTCATGCTCAACTTTACAATGTTAGGCAATGCAATCTAATTTCAGATTAAGTAATGCTCTACCTAGGAAAAGTTAACAACTTATTCCTTTACCTACAATAAGTATTCTGTGTCTAGTTTGAAATTGATAGTCTAATGTACCATATGATCTACTCGCATATTTACTTTTTATGCATACTGTACTACTAGTACTAAGAATGGCTAGTTTACAGTGCTACTACTCCAACTCTCTATAGCGCTACATTAGAATAACTCTTGTACGATACGTATACGCCATATTGCAATTATGCCTACTACGCTCGACGATATCATCTATATCTAGACGTACGCATACATCAATAAAGACATATATATTTGACCCTACAGGAAAGCACTATGGATAGTTATGCGATTTTAGCATTGCATAGTGACCTCTATAATGTACTCGGCAATGAGCTAGCCGGGAATGCAAGCGGTTGAAGACTTGAAGTACATCTTGAAGAACTAAGTATTATAAAAATAGTCTTGCTCTAATTTAAGAAGTACTGGTAAGTACTCGGCAATGAGCTAGCCGGGGATGCAAGCGGTTGAAGTACATCTTGAAGAACTAAGTATTATAAAAATAGTCTTACTCTAATTTAAGAAGTACTGGCAAGCATGAGCACGGTACAAGTTGGTTAGCTACGGTATAAATAATCTTAATTTCACGAGGTATCTTAATTAATATACAGTAAATCATTTTACAGTGCGATTAGACGTACGCAAACACTAATGAAGATATGTATAATTGTATGACATTGTTATATATAACTAAAGGTACTGAAGGTATACAGTATATTAGCAGTTAGAACTAGGATTTCTATCATTCTACTGTATACTGTAAATGGATCTAAAAATACACCTATACTGTACTTTTACATGTACAGTATCTGTTATATATGCGAGCTAGTAATAACGTAAGAAGGAAGAAAAAATAAAAGTTAGAAGATATACGGTACGCAAAGTATAACGAGCGTAAGTAGTAAGTACTAGTAATTGTATAACTAGCGTTACTGACATGAACAATGTATCAGTGATTGTTAGATTACAGTCAATGGTCTACTTTACAGTAAAATCTATCTACGCCTACAGGAATATTGAGGAGTAAAAGGAGTTGATCTATTTATTAAATTTTTCAGAAATGTCCGTCGTATCACAGTTAGTAGCATTAGTAACTGGTGGCGCTTCTGGTCTAGGTCGAGCCACCGCTCAGCGTTTGGTTAGGCAAGGAGCCAGAGTGGTCATTATGGATTTGCCGAACAGCCATGGTGCAGCTACCGCTGAAGAAATTGGTAGCAATTGCTGCTTTGCTCCCACTGATGTAAGGCTTCTCACACTATGCATACAGCTATGAATTGATCGTAATTCACATTACAAGAAAATTGCTTTACGTGATTATTTTGATGCTTTTAAACTCGTAATAATCCATTTATTGCTGAAATACTAGCATCAAATTGGCATGATTCTTTTCAGGCTTAATCTCAGGTGTCTTAGTTATTGTGCTATCACCATAACTCTTGTGTGGAATAACATAAAACTACCTTGGTACAATCTCTCTATGGCATTATAATATAATCTACAGTATTTAAGATAAAGCCGATAATGCACTTATAGCGGTATGATTGTTGACATGAATTTGTGCCAACAAGGTAACTAAGGAAAAGGACGTGATGAATGCAATCCAATTAGCTCGAGAGAAATTCGATCGAATTCGTCTTGTGGTCAATTGTGCCGGTATTGCACTTGCTCGAAAAACTGTCAATAAAGATGGCCCACATACATTAGAAGACTTTAATAAAGTGATGATGGTGAGTTATCGAAGTAACGCATTAAGACACATACATTACTAGCAAGTAGTTAATAGAATAATTAGTCTTTAAGAGGCATTTGCTTGTACATAAGGATTATGAAGTGGGATGGTTCGATTAATGCGTGCATATACAGTAGATAATAAAATAAGTCAATTTGTTATTGACTTCATTGCAGGTAAACACTGTGGGAACCTTCAATGTTATACGACTATGTGCTGATGATATGGTCAAAGACGAATTACCTCCGGGAGCTGGCAGTAATCCTGATGAACGTGGCCTTATCATTAACGTAGCTAGCGTTCTCGGACTTGATGGCCAACCGGGTATGGCAGCTTACTCGGCTTCAAAAGCTGCAGTAGCAAGTATGACATTACCTATTGCAAGAGATTTGTCGCGCAATGGTATACGTGTATGTACTATTGCTCCTGGTTAGTAATATCAATAAGTTAGCAAGTTTTTTAGATTAGAAATTATTTTCTAATTGATCGAAACATCGTAGAGTAATGTACATCGCAAATTAATTATGCTCATGCTTTCGTATGGTACATGTAATAATATGATATCATGATTATACTTACTAGTACGTATTAATAGAAAAGTGATGTCTGGTGCTTTTGCTAGGTGCTTTTCTTACTCCAATGCTAACAAACAACACGCCTAAAGAAATCTTAGATTGGTACACCAAGTTGATTCCTTATCCAAAACGATTTGGAGACCCTGACGAATTTGCTCAACTTGTCGAAGCAGTCGTCGAAAATCCTATGCTGAATGGCTCTGTTGTTCGACTAGATGGTGCACTACGAGTAACATAGCAATGCACCAGACATCGCATAAAAATTGAAATTTGAGCAAGATAATTCTTTATTGAACATCTATACGCTTTTATTTCGTAATGCTACATCATCCATTGAACGATATTTATTCCGCCCTTGAAGATTTTACATAAGCTGTTGCAGTCTTTAACATACGCAAAAATTAATTTAGTCTATAGAACGAATTGAGGAGTTTCCTCAATTGTTTTAGTAGATGCTACAGTCTTTGCAAGCAGTAATAATTATAATGCAAGATTTGCTGGTCAATTTTACGGAAAGGTAACGTTCAATAAAATTTAAATTTTTTGGTGACACTACAGATTTAAAAATACTAAAAATCTCTTAGGATTTATTAGAACGTATCTGTTTAAAGTAGTAGATATACTGGTTGAAATAAGAAAAAATAAACAAATTTTCTGAAAGTGTACTACATCATCACTAATAACTTGTACATCTATTCATACATGCTTATTGAAGCTTAATTCGGGTATCAACTGCCATTGCAGGAGTTATCTCGAGATTTTATGCTACAGTCTAAGAATATTAGAAGATGCTATTTTTGAATATTGATTTTGCTGCAAGAAAGTGTCAGTGACATTATTTCATTGTTCAATGTAGTCGCTGTACTAATTAGAAATGATAAATAAAGAAATTAAATTATAATAACAAGTGGAAGAACTTTCGGCTTTCGAATTCCAAAATGATTACGACATCATATGAATAGTGGAACAATTCAACTTCTAATCCTTTCATTAGAATTTCTTGATATTCCTCATTAGACTCACGCCTAAGTCTAGAAAAGGAGGCTGATGTATTAGATTATAGGAGTTTGGATATGCAATCATTTTTAACCTAGCTTTTTCATTGTTCGTAGTTACTTTTAAAGTTAAAGCTATTATAATCGAAGAATAGCTGTAAATATTATCCTGTACTGCTATAAATAAAGTTATGATACTCATAATTTCTCATCTACGAGTAATTGGCCATTAGTATTACATAACATCTTTAGTCTGACAAGACTAATCTCAATTAAATATATTCCAATCGAATTCTAATCCAACATGCGAGTGTACTATAAAACCAATATTTTACTATGTTTATGCTAAGTAAGTTTTAGAGTTCTAGTAAAAATGCTACGATAATTATGATCGAGATTTCACAATTGAATTAATAGATAGGATAAAGAAAGAAACAATAATGGTTTAAGTCTGTTTAAGCTGCTAAGTTTATGTTTTTGCATTTAATCAAAAATGCGTATATAATTGAGTATTAGAATTTCGCAATATTTTTAGCTGTAAAATTAATTCAATCATGCTCACATCCGATGGATTTCCAGCGTGAAGTTTACATAGTTTATTAGGCTTAGAGTTACATTATGCTTTTATAAAGTTTATATCATAGATCAGAATGCTTATAAAAAATATACTCGAAGGACTTCCGGCAAGCAAAGGCACGAAGTAAAACCAGTTATATCGTGACAAGCGCTATATTATTTGCAATTTTCCAAATAGTAACATTATCAAGTGGCTACAGAATGTGAATTATTCCCATTATTCATATTTGTATAATTGATCTTATCATAGATACTCCATGTAATTAAAACCCGTGGAAGATCATAGCTTAATCTTTATTGCACTCAGATAGAGTTGTGCTTATATCCAATGTTACGAAGACAAAAATGCTGCATTATTAATTTATGGACTGTTTTCTTGACATAAGACTTACGTTCTAATTTGATTATTGACAATTATCAATGCGCAAAAGGCAGTATATTTAAGTTCTACCTTAAACTTTGATAAGCTATTTTGAAATTTATTCGACAAAAGTTTAAACAATTTATTAGATTTTTTAATAATTGTCATAATGCTTCCTGCTTTATGAAGAATTCAGATCTCAATAATAATAGTATAGAATAACATCCATGTATTGATAACTTTGGCTATTATGCTTAATTTAAAGACTAGTAGCTTACGTAAGCTAATCTAATACTGTTACAACATTGCTTAAAAATTGATGCTACACTCAAAATAAAATTCTGTTTAGTAAATTGATCTGATTAAATCACATAATCAACTGCAAATTATATTTCCTTATAAAACAGCATCGGAACTGGTACACAGCTGACCTTATGGCTACTCTGAAGGAGGAGCTTATTTATCAGCCTAATTCGAAAACAGTTCTTTAGTTGTTCAATGTCTCTAGCTGCTAACTATCATCAAGCCATAAGAGGTCATTCAATCAATCGATTTATAAGCAGAATCTTCAGTGGTGGATAAATTTTATTAAAAAATTGGATAAACTGTTTTAGCTTGGATAAATAACAGATCGGATTTAAAGCAAAGCTATTGAAAGATGGATTATTATCTCATATCTATACCACGTTGATAATACAAAAAAAATTAAATTATAACGCCGAAGATCCTAATACACTGTAGTAATTAGAAACAATATTTTGTCAAAAATAAGCTCTGTTATCGTAAAACATTAAGCGCTAGACAGAATCATTTCGGACAATCTACATGGTAAATTTAAGGTAAATTTAAAGGCTAATTTTTAATCTTTATATATCTACATAAATTGGATAACGTAGAAATTACTGAGCCGCTATATCAAAGATAAGGGTAAACTCTTTCAGTAGCAATTTGAAAATATTTACCGAAGTGAGTGTAGTTAAGGTTAATTATTTAAGGTTAGATAGAATGATTTTCGACTACCTATGGCGTAAACTTGAAGGAAATTGTTCTACTTTTTATCCGCTTAAGCCAGAAAATATGAAAATTAGTGAATCATAGAGTCAAAAATAGATATAAACTTTATCAATAGCAATTAAATATATTTTACTAGGTAAATCCAGTTATTGAATATCATTTAGCACTGGAAAAAACAATTTAGGATTACTCTAAATGGTGAACCTTACTTAAACTATGATGAATTAACACCTATTTATTAACCTACCTTTCGTTTTAAAGTGGTCTATCACCCTAATACAATATCGGCTTATAGATAATATAAAACGCTATAAGCATGCCTGGATGCAGTAAAAGGCAATGAATAAGGCATTGTTATTTGCGAATCACTTACTATATAGCTAGAGTAAGATATATTGCTAATGGGTCAAGTGCCCGCTACCTACGCTAATTAATTATATATGAATAAGAAACCTTTCCCAATTTACTATTTATTCATGAAGGTAGACAGCTTATCCCAATTATCGAGTTTATTACAAATAAAGTAGAAACTGGATAGCAGAATCAAGTAACGATTGAAAAATAATTTACCTACGGAAATCCAGTATTCAAATTATTCTAGGCTACTCTTAAGTCATGACATTAGACAAGGTATGAACAAAATTTGTATTATTTGTCTGCTATCATTAACAGTGTACTATGGACGGATCGGAAATTTGGATAGCAGTAGAGAATTTAATTAGACATATTGTGATATTTTATATAGAACATTTGATTTCCTTTCGTTAAATTACAAATCCTCCTTTTTTCAAGTCTAGGCGTTAGGCATGATCATCGGAAGGGCGATGCCTTCTCCATTATTCAAATAAATGATTTATGTTGGCTTGATCACGTTACTTCGCTTGTCTTTCATATATATATATCATAATCCTATTGATAAAAATAGCTTGATTTTTATTCCATTTTCGTATTAGAAAAAGTTGTTTTTCTTATGGTAATGAATAAGAAATTGCTGTTATTAAAGGACAAAAGTCATATCAACAATTAAGGTGGGACCAAATTGGTAATAACATGAGACAAAGCAAAGACCGAAATTTTCTGCAGTATCATAGTTTGATCATAGGGAAATGATTACAATCGCCTGTTATAGAGATTTAAAAACGATTTGCCTTGAAAATAATGGAATTCTTTTCTAGACTAATTGGCCATAGAAATGACTTAAACTGGTTTTTTCACCTTATTGGCGTAGCTAAACCTACGTAGTGTATAAGATAATATAGCAGTCGTGCATCAGAGAAGAAAATTTGAGCATACGTATTCTCTTATTCATCGAGGACATCCAATTCATTGTTCACTCATTCTATCTAAATTGGATCCATCTATAAATTAATTATTATTGACAATTAGCCTCTCGGTAGCTAAATTCTATATAAATAAATAGCTGTAATAACGGACGAAACAAACTCATTTGGTTCTAGAAAATAACACGTAGCTTGACTCCATCATTCTCCAAGAGTATTTATACTCCTAGCCAATGGGTACCAATTTAAATCTATCGAGCAAGATGAACCATTGATATAGTCTAAAGAGAAGAAATTATCTTTTGACTCAATAGGTAGAATACTGAAGGCCGATCAAATTATGTTTTTTAATTGAAATTCAATTCCCTCTAGGAATTCTAAATAGGAACATTGAGCCGAGTGTCCAGTAAATTTTTAGTAAAGTATCCTATTTAGTCATTGATTATTTCATCAGGAATGTCCATTGAAAAAGTAATGTTATGTTCTACCTAAGATCCGGTAATGCTTTAAAATACGAATTGAATTATTTAGCTTTGGATTGTAGCGATTGTCTCCGTCAAGAAAATTTTTTTCAGCGTTGCAATAAAATTTCCATTTTCAATACAATTCTTTCTCGTTATTGTTTGCTACATTATAATCCTTCATTCAATTTTTTTGTATCATTAACAGTATGAAATAGTTGGGTTGGGTCTGTATACCCTAAGTAGTTATTTTTCTAATTTAGGTGATCCTTGAAATACTGGATTAGGAGCACTCTTGCTGATTCTATCCGGCATTTGGTCTATGTTAGGGTAGTGGTGTCTGTTAAGGAGTTATTGGAAGATTATCGATAAGAAAGATATCCGAAAATTGACATCATATTTGGTTAAGAGTTCTTTCACTCTTTGAAAAGTTTTCTTTATAAAAAATTATCCTACTTTCTATCCACCATGACTCGATTAATACTTTTAATATTTCTTATATGCTGCTATCAAGTACCAACAATATCTGGACAAGAATCGCTATCGTTAGC